AGAACTCATAAGGTTAACATGGGAAACTCTAGAGCCACTGGGGCGGAGCCCGAAAGGATTTTTGAGATGAAAATATGCCTCTATGTTAATCGTGAATGTGAGCTATCATCATACCAAATTTAAGCCCAATCCATCCAGTAATCAACACGTGATTGAACTTCAAACACACAAACAAACGCACAAACTTTCACATTTATAATACTAATAAGATAGTAGCCTTTCTCATTTCACATGATCTGACAAGCACGGTGTCTCATCAAACTAGTATAATTGTTTTTGTTCAAGCTCCTATGTATGAGCAATCGATGTACCTATCTAATTTCATTGTTGATGTTAGCCTCCGGATTACGTTGAAAATATGTATCTAAGGTTCTATTGATATGAAGGTATCTATTGATGTATCTAAGGTTTAATGGGTATTGGGGAAAAATAACTAATTTAATTCTGTGCTGGTATTAAAATTTTTTTACCACAAAAAGATGTGAAACTACTTTATTGTTACCAGTTGTGTGGGGGCAATAAACTATAAACAAATAACTTGGTCTTTCCACATATTTAGACTGGTGTAGTTGTACAGCGTAAGTCTCCAGTTCCGAAGATAACGGATTCACATCCTGGAAATCACCATGACAATTTGACAGATGGCCACCCTGTGCGTTGCTCCTCATGAACGTTGGTGCAGCCATCTTTAAATGCCCTTACCACCTGCGTAGGTACCATTCCGCCACTCATAATTTTCTCCCCATACACTTCACTAATCTGTCAATGAATTTAAATGGCTTTCACACCTTTAGCACTTAACAATCTAATTACCGGTACAGCGCAAACTTCACAGGCGACGGCAGTCTCAATTGGCGGCACCGTTTTGAATGCTCTAAACCGGATGTAAACACAGCCGATTTTTGCCGAATTTCCAGCGCAGGATTGCCAATACATGCACATACACAGCACAAATGTCCAAAATGCCAATCGCAGCACTGAAACGGAGAAATTTAAAAACAGTACTTACTTAAATAACATGCCTTGTATTATTCTGTCACCATAGGTAACTCTGAAACTTGAACAGTGCTGTAAGTTGATTAAAGTGTCTTTTTTCCCAAATATAAAAACTTAACCGCCACAGCACATCATAAGTTAATGTTAAACAAGGACTGAAAACGCTTCTTAGTCATATTGATAGCTTAGCCAAACTTACTTACCGGTATCTTTATTGCTTCCGATTCTTTTCCAAGAAAATTTCCCTCCTTCTTATTTGGCCCCAAATAAGCAGACAATTCATCAATATTGTTTACATGTGAAGTACTCTCATACATTAACACCAAACATTTGTAATGCTCCAAGCCTTAAACTAGAAAATTTACCTGGAACAAAAATAGGCAGTGTACATTATTCCAGCCTTCTTCTTGTTAAAAGTAATTTAAAAACAGAATATAGAAACAATGACTCAAGGTAGGGCATATTTTCTTTCCACATATATTTGGATTGGTAAATAAAAACTTAAAAACTCGAAGGCCACTGGTTCTCTCGGACCCAAGTGTCATTACCCAAGTGGAACTAATAAAGTGTGTTTTTTATTAAAACATTAATAGCTTAGTATAAAATAAAGCTATCAAGTTTGATTTATAAAAATAAATATATCCTATATATTTATATAGAGTAAAATATAAATTAAGCTTTTTGTTGGTTGCAAAACATAAACAAATAAAAAGTAGAAGAATGTAATTCTTAAGGGACAAATTTAAAAATGTATTTTTAGGGTTTTATAATTACTACTGAACGGAATTGTCTAAATTTTACAGTGTCTTTCCATTGGTGTCATAATTAAGATTTGTGCAATTTTTAAACACTATAGATGCAACGGTTAGCTTTGAGTTTTTTATGCGAACACTTACACACACACACAGTCAAGCGGACAACTAATCCACGACTCCGCTAAGTTATACACAACACGATACATAGATGACATATTATTTTTTTTATTTCTTTAGAAAGGTCTAGAGAATAATTGATAAATTTTGTGTTTTAAGGGTAACAAATTAGAAAACACCATTTTTTGGCCTAAGCCCCTTCTCTGCATAAAACTCATTAAAACCCGGACCCATGGCCCGATCATGCTGGTTCGCGAACTCATTTAGATTTATCCCGCCTTACACCTTCAAACCAAATTTTCATTTGATTTTACGTTATGAAACAAACATAATTCAAGGATATGCCTTTGCCAATTACAATCAATTGTAAGTATGGTGGGCTAATATGTTCTCAGGTACTTAAGTTATGTGTCACAATTTCATTTTCTCAGGTACGTGTTTTTTTGCCATAAGTTAACTGCATGGTTTGCTGCGTTGTTTACTGTGTGAAATTAACCTAACTTAAGTTTTGTGACGTTGCCTATTGTAAGTTATTTTAAGCCTATTGTAAGCCTAGGCTACTAAATTTCCATTCATACTTGGCTTCCTACCTAATATGTATGGTCGCCATTTCATTGAACAGTATTAACAGTATTAATGGTAGAATAAGTTAAAGGGTACAGTTTCTTAACTGGGCTACGCTAATTTTATTGAAACTATCGATTCGATTAGTAAACCTACATGCAATTTTTTCACCATCCAAATAGTTTGGTTGGTTTACTTAGGTTATGATAGTTTAATTTTATAATAAACTTAGATATATTTTAAAATATCAATTATTAATCACTATTTTTAATTCGATAGTTCAATAAACAATATTAACTTAAGTTAGCGTAGCCCAGTTAAGAAACTGTAGGCCTACCCAAGTTAAATCTCTTGGCTCAGTATTATCACGCTTACCATTTCTAAGGTTACACTTCCATAAGTTATCTGTTAAGTTATCTGGCACAAACAAGCGAATGAAAATATCGATCGATATACGGTATCGATTATTCGAAATATCGTTTGGTATCATTATTACTCATTCGGTTGTTTGTGCCAACAGATATGGAAGTGTACTCATTTCGAACATAGCCTATGCTTACTATCAGTAAATTCAAGCATCCATAGGCCTAGTAACCATTTTTTATATAGGCTACTAAGTTAGGCCTAACCTAACAGTAACTTAAGTTAGTTAGCCTATATTTCTTATTTTTAAGCACGCTGCTTCAAAAACAGACAATTCCTAAGTTAATACACCTACATCTTGTTTAAGAATGTAGGCCTAAGTCATTAGTTGAATAGGCTGCACTTTAGTTTACGTCCTACACTCATTCTAATGAAAAATATCAGTTAGATTATTCGATATTTCAATTAGGCTATTTCATTAATAACCAAACTTGATAGCCTGGGAATATAGGCCTACTCGAACACTTGATACTCATTCAATCGTTGAATACATTCACTGATATTTTTTTTAAGTTAATTGTTTATGCCTGTCACAGGAAATCTGCAACTTAAGTCACAGCAAACTTAAGCTTAAGTAGGCTAGACAACTGTACCTACTAACTTAACCTAATAACACTCAAGCAAATAATAGCAATAGCTAGTGGTGGGAATCACCGAATGAAAATAACCAAATCAATCGGTTATTGATGCTGAATAGACTAATTCGGTTATTTTATCCTGGTTCGGTTAAATTAGTCTTACCGTGAGATTCGGTGATTTAGTTATTTAGTTGATTTAGTTTGTCACATCATCAGCTAACTAAAATTTATTCGGCGATTCGTTCGACTAAAAATCACCGATTGACGCTGAAAGACTAAATGCCATTCAGTTTCCCATAGGATAAAAATTAGTTGTGGTTTGTGATAGTGAATAATGACTAAAATTGATTCGGTGATTCATTCAACTAAAAATAACCGATTGACGCAAAAAATAACTGATTGATTATTCGGTCATGGAAACCATTCGGTTATCCCATCACTAGCAATAGCCTACTGCATTTTGTTAATTTTGTTACTTTGAATAACAAGGCCTAGCCTAGGAACAGGATGAGATTAAAACACAACTTACTGGATTTCAACATAGTTCCACATTAGTTTTGGAATTTTTTGATGTTCACAATAATTTATTAATAATATTATTGTTCCTCTTCTCTATCTTCTGTCAACACCAGCCGGACCATTGACAAGATTCATTAATTTTTAATGCCGTTATCCTTCACTTCACTTCATTTTTATATCTTTTAACTTCTCACTATAAATATTTCTTGCATTTTCATTGTCCTATAGCATGTAATTGTTGCCATTTCTCGTATAAAAATCGTGTATAACATTTAAATAAATAAATGTTTAGGTTATAAAATACCATATCGCAGTTGTCAGTACGGTCAATTACAATAATTATCGTATCCTACCATAAAATATCGTATATATGGTAGACCTGACTGAAGCGAGCAGCTGATGCCATTCCCACAATGCAACATTCTCCTCAATTATAAGCTATGCCCCAAAATCAGAATTATAAGGTATGACTCAAAATCAGGATTATAAGCTATAGAACAGATTTGGAATTATAAGCTGTGCCACTATTTGACCATTATAAGTTGTGAAACTGAAAATGTTTCATACCTTATAACGTTTTAGAGAAATTGTGGCATAGCTTATAATTTTTCGTGAAAGTGTGGCATAGCTTATAACTGATTATAAGCTATGCCACATTTTCAGCATTATAAGCTATGGAACAAATTCACGATTATAAGCTATGACATTATAAGCTATGACACCCCACGGGATTTTCATGCTTATGAGGACGGTTTTTTCCGGAGCTGTGTGGCTGTGGCAACACTGGTGCCGACTGCCGAGCCGAGCCGAAGCGCCCGACCCCGAAGCCGAGCCGATATCGAGGTTAAGTTTTACATGACACATCACGAAAATAACAGCAGTATATCAGCTTAAAGTACATTCTCTTATTCAATTACTAATTGAAATTACTAATTAAAATTATTAATAGTTTAATTTATTTTTATGGCACTCGCCAGTATGTGATCGTGATGCCTACACTGACAGCAACAAGTGTGCTTTAATTAAGTCACTGTCACTGAACTGCTTCATTTTAGGTTATGAATAAACCAATGTAATTTACTCTATTAGCAACAGAATAGAATAGACTAGTCAGGTCTTAATATTAAATATGAGTATTGCAATGGATAAAAATAAACTAAAGAAGGACTCACCTGGGAAGTCACCAAGTGCCAAAATAGAAAAAATCGTTAACGGGAAGAAAAATTTGGAAAAGAAAACTGTTGAACAGAGTCCTAAGAAATATGAACTAATCACAACAGAATCTATAACAACAATAGGAGAATCTATTGGATTGTCAGAAATCTCTGAAGATGCTCGCACTGTTTTGGCGGAAGATATCTCATACAAGCTTAGAGAGATGGTTAATGTAAGTTTTTAAAATTATTTCCAATGTGTTACGGTATAGGCCTAAGTTATTAAATAGGCTAATGTTAAATTAATCGTAACAGAATAAAATAACTTTCCTAGCCTATTCTTAGCTGGAGGTCTCCTCAACAGTTGTAACTTAATTTCTTCCATATAAGTTAATAACCTTGCTAAGTATCTGATTTTAATTTAAACAAACCTGACCTGACTCAACCTATCTGTCTTTGGTAGACCAACACTTCTAACTTACGTGGAAACTGATTCGGCAAACGTCTCAACAAACAAATCCAACATGCATTCCCTTTTCTGTAGCCTGCCTAAAGTGGTGGCCCACTCGCACAATTTTTATTTCAGCTGCAGTTTTTAACACGGACAAAATGAGAGTAAAAAAATGAGAAATTAGTAGGCTTAGGGCCTACAAAAAAAAAATTTGTTATAAAACTAAGAAAAAAATAAAATTTTTTTTAATTAAGTTAGGCCTATACCGTAGCCTAATGTTGGCTAAGAATATTATTTTGGCCCAAACATAAAATGTTGACACTTGGATTGAACTAAACTATGACTGATTATTAATTGAAGTGTAGTTCACTGGTTTTCTATTATAAGGCGTAGACTGAGGCATATATATATAAATATACCAAACATTGTGAGGGTGTAACTTACTGTCCAGGCAGTTAGTTGCCAAGTTTAGGTCCAATATTTCAGAGTAAAATTCTATTTCATCCTTAACCAGCCAATGCTCAGAATGGCAAAGTATAGGTCGTAACTTATTAGTGAGCAGCAAGCCACAGAGTTAAAAGTAGCCTTCAATAATTTCTTAGGTACACCCTTCAATAATTAGTGTGTTGGTTCCTGCTTTGCAGCCCAATGCAGTGGAGTTTACTTGTTTAGTAAGTTAGCTCATGGTGTCTACCGGTCACTGAAAAGTCACTGATTTCATCAGGGAATCACAAAAGTCATTGAAAAATGAAAAGTAACAAATTTTCATTTAAAGTCCCAAAACTCCCTACTGAAAAAATCAGGCCTCACCATAGTAAAGTTTCCCAGATCTGTCTTGTGTTGTATCTTGCTGTAGAGGCAATAACTAAATTTGGTAATGCAGAATCAGTGAGAGAAAAAAACATATTTTGGGAGCATGCAACCAGCTCAAATTGTTACGGCACAAAAAATATTGCGTGTCCCTACTATAGTTCAAATCACTGAAAAGTATTGTTTTATTGGTACCAAAGTTCGTAAGTTTTGATAGTTTGCGTTTTAGTCCCTCCCATAAGTTACTGAAATTCAATTTGATCCAACTGGTAGACAACCTATTGGATACTCACTCCATCTTCTTATTATTTCTAGTAATGATTTTTTACACTAATCCTTCATCTGCCTTCAATACTTATTTGGTTAAGCCTAATTTGTTACATTTGTTCCAGAACTGTGCAATACTACTACACAACAACAAAAGGAGAAAACTCCTCACAGAGGACGTCAACAGAGTTCTAGAAGCCTCCGATTGTCCCATGGTGTATGGACATTCAGCGCCTCATGCGTTGGACTTTATACATGTTCCGAAAGCTGAAGTGTTTGTGGAAAATGATGCAGAAATGGACATTGTAGCATTGTCTAGTCTGGCAACAGGATTTACAAAGTTGGGCGATGAATATGTTAAAGGTGAGGTTGAAAATATCAATATAATATAATTGTCTGTGAGTGGCCGAATGGTCATAGTGCTTGCCTCCTATGGTGCTGGCTTGTTCCGAAGCAAGATATATTCCGAACCAAGATTCTATTTGTCATATGGCCATAAAAAATGATAATATCTGTTGTTGCTAGGCTTGTGGCTGCTGCCTGACCCGGTAGACAAGACCGAGCCCCCGAGTGTCAAGGATGAGCCGAGCTCTAGCACAGCCACTCCACCCAGACCACCCCAGCGCCCAGACGACCAACCCACCCAGGCCAAGCCTCCTCCTCACTTTATCAACTACTACCTGCAAGTCGCCCGTGTCGTCATCGGAGGCTCCGAGCCCCATCTCAGGGTGAGTGACTCGGATAGTTAATGGTCTTGGCTAAAGAAAACAGCTGATCTTAGCCAGCAACAAAGCTAAATAATACACTCAATGACTACATTGGGATTTTAATAAATTAGCTAATCAACAGCTGATCGTGTTCAGTAGCTACAAACTACATCCACTCCATTGTGCTTTAAATGGTCCTGGCTGGAGAAACAGCTGATCTTAGCCAGTAACACAGCTACATATATAATCCGTACCATTGGGCTTAAATCGATGGTCCTGGCCAAGGCTAATGAAAGAGGTTGCCTCAGACTCGCGTGCTGTGTATGACGTCAACCGCCGACAGGGACGGTGCTGCTTTTAATTCACACAGCTGACACCTGGTATGTTGTTATTTGTTTATTTTTGTGTAAGTTTTTTTTTGTGTAACCAATAAGTGGGCCCAGTTATTGGTACTTTTAATTCTTGGAAACATAAGATTGTTTTGAATTGTTGTAGGTAGCTCTAGCTGACCTAAGGACCAATTCCAAGATAGGTTCGTTGGTGCCTTACTTCTTAAACTTGGTTGCATTGTCTGTCAATAAACTGCAACGCAACGGCCGACTAACAGACGCTCTATTGCGGACCGTGGAGGCGTTAGTGGACAACCCTTACGTTGATCCAAGCTCACAACTTGCTGTAAGTGAAGTGTTTTTTGTTTTTTTTTAAGTAAAGGCCCTATGATAGGATTGTAATTTGTAGAGTAAAGGAGTATCATCTAGCTTATCTTAAAAAAAAGTCCAAGTACCCCGAAGAAGACACAGGAAACCCAAAATATTTTGTCCCCAGGGGCACTTGGTGCGGTGTAAAACAAGAGCTCTTTTTCCACCTGATCTGAACTGTATTGCGCTTTAAGGTCTTCATCCCGGTTTTTCTACATTCAAGAGACAAAGTATCAAATTATTGTGTGTTATCTGTGTATTCTGTACTTACTATGGCCTACGTGGACTTTTTTAAAGGTAAGGATCCAAAGTTTTCGATACAGTATACTTAGTTTAATTGATATTGTTTCTTCATGGTAAAAGTGACATATAAAATAAATCTTTACAGTAGAATTCTAATCAGATAATCTCCAACCATCCAAACTTTAAGCTTGACCACAACTCTCAACTTGTAGAAATTAAAAATGGCATACCATAGGGATCAATACTCTCATATTTATTTTTAAACCTTTACCTGGCAGACATACCAACACCCACTGGCATATTTAAACTGGAGGGTAAATTTTGTAAAAATTCATGTTGTTGTCGTGTACTTGTTGACACTGTTCAACGTACTTGTAAATTAAACTCAATGAGTAAAGATTTTGTTGAAATGAAAATTGAATCGCTAATTATCAGAATCGAAAGATGTTTAAAAACCTAAAACTACAGTGTAATAAGAATCGCTTTTTAAGAAGGCAGAAGCTCTAATCCGCCAAATCCTTATCATCTCCCGTGGTCAGAAAAACATTATTTTCTTTCATGATTGTGTCAAAATCTTGAATATTTCTTGTGGTTGTGTGGACCCCATCATTGTTTATCACGTTTACGGAAACATCGTTTTCCATAATAAAAATCTTGAACCTTTTTCTCGGTCTTGTAGTTGTAGAATCATCATCGTCTCACACCGATTGTCCTCCGAAATGGTGGCAAAAGCTTGAAATTTCAATCTAGAAATCTTCACAGAGAATCTCAGCTTGACTCGGTGTATTTTCTATAAAATACCCTAAATTTTCTGTATAAATCCAATCATCCGAATGTGGTATGACCCAATTGATTTGATTGGTTGGAGTTCTACCGTGTACTCCAAATGCACTCTTTCTGGATGTTTCAGCTTTGTAAACTCATGAACCAATAAACCTCCAATAAGCATCTTGTCTGTGAACTGTGTTCTGATGAAGTTTCTTAGATTTGCAAATGTGTGTTGGATGTGTGTGTGTGAAGTGATGTATGCTTATTATGTATATGACTAGGAACATTTTATTCTGCAGTTACTAGGTTATTTATCTTTAGTTCTCAATTTCTTATTTCATTTGGTTATTTCAGGTAAACAGAGCAGTGAATGCTCTACTGGTGGTCGCTATTGAGCCTAAAGCTGCAAAGAACTGTGATGATTTACTTCTCCGTAAAAGAGCTGCTATACTGCTTGCTAAGGTACAGGATTAGATAGCTTAGTGTAAAATAAATATATTTGCCAAGTTTGATAAAAATATTTCCATAAACAAGCAAACTAAAACATGTTACAATGTTCTCCATAAGAATAACAAAGGAGTTTTAAATTTACAATTTTGGAATTTTTTCCACAACCAATAACCGTAAAAAAACACATTGATACACTAGAGCCTAAATTGTTTGTTTTTTAAGCTCTTTAAATGGTCTAGAGAGAGAAAATGGGAAATTTTGTGTTTTGAGGGTCAAACATGAGAAAAACCAATTTATCAGAATCTTTAACCCCCCTCCCCAGTCCTCCCTGAAAGTTGCGTTGTTTTTCTACTTTAGCGATAAGATAATTCTATATTATATTAATAAAATAGCGGCTGTTTTCAGAATTATTATTTTTTGGGATAAATGCAAAATAACTTATTCTTTGTCACATCCTTCTGGAGATAAATGTATGGTTGCCATCGCCGAGCTTGGGCGTGGAAATGCCGAGATCCTAAAAAGCAGCAACTAAACCGAACCGTTCTCAAAGCAAGGTCGGTTAAAACAAACTGTAATATTTTACAATCGAGGGCAAATAATCCGATTATCAGTTAATGCGAGGTCAGTTAAGAGGGGCTCTTCTGTATTAGTTAAATTGAATGGAACGAAAATGTTTCTTTATTGTGGCTAACAAATACCTATAGTCAGGACCACGAAAGTTTGCAGTTGAGGGAGGAGCCTATTTACCACGTGACTTCAGAGGAGCCAATTAGGACAGTACGGTGTTGCTAAATCTAATAATACCAGCTGATTTGAAAATATTGTTTAGTATTTTAATTAGTGTCGTCAACGAGCGACATGGCAACGTCGCACTAGTCTTGTCTTGTGATTAGCTGCTGCCAACTGCAAACTTTCGTGGTCCCGACTATAATGGTCACTAAGCGCTTACAGTTAGCCTATAAACAAATAAATTTAACTTAAGTTGTACGTTTATTAAGTAAATTAGCAAATATTAAAATAACAGAGTATTTTTTTTCATTTTCATAAAATTTACTCACACTCATATACACTCTCCGCTGCAACCAAGAACAGAGCCTAACCCATGTTACGGCCATCCGGTTAAGGTAAATGTTTTGGTATGTTGCTTGTCATTAGTGTATTAAACTTAATAAACTTTATAGTGTGAGAGTAATACACTGATCCCTGGCATTTCCACTGAAATTTGAGAGGTTTAGACCAAATTCTCTTAAAAACTGGGACGGGTGGCGTCATCCGGTAATCCAGCTACTAGGAGGTCACGAATTGTGGATAATTATAGGGATGCACTGTGGATGCGATGCTACCTGGTGTGGATTAACGTCCGCACTAGTGAGTACTATGACTATCCGCTGTACTATCGTAATAATTAGACCAATTCGTTAATTACGAGGATAAAATGTGGTTCGGATTCCACAATAAACTGTAGGTCCCTTAGTTGCCATTAGCTGTATGGGCTATTAATTAACAGCTGTGTCTAAGGAACATGTCGGCCTTAGTCATTAACAAGACTACAAGATCGCACCACTCATCCTACACTCATATTTGGGTTAAAATACGCACATAGTGGCGTCCCCATCTTAAATAATTGATAATTGATAATAAACGTTTGCAATTCTCTCTTACAAAGTTTCCCTGGCGTGGTCACCAAAAGAAGTCATTTTCTTCCAGGTGCTGGTGTGCTGGAGTATTGAGTTAAAGCAGCAGATGGACACAGTGCGTCAGTTGCTGCAGCTGCTACTAGATAGCAGCCTTAGTCTCAAATCACACTATGGAGCTGTCGTCTGTCTCACGGCCCTGGGTCAGCGTACGCTGGACTCATACTTCTGGCCGATACTTGAACGCTACATCTCAGTGTTGGAGGATCACAAGACATCGCCAGCCGACGCGCAGGATGTGCAGTGTGTCAAAGGGGCAATCATGGTAGGACTAAATGGAAAACAGTAATAACTACTGCATGGTTGTTATTTAAAACCTAAATGAACATACAATAGAACCTCGCTAATCTGTCGCCTACGGGACCGGGAGCATGGTCAGAACAAAATGCAAAATGCATGGATTATCAGAGGGTTCATTGAACATCCAAACACTGAAACCTTGCCTAGAATGGTACCGGTACCTATCTTTGACAAATTATTTGCAGTGGCCTATATTACGGACCGTGGCCCACTAGGTTGGTAACGTTAAAGTTGTTTTTTTTTTTAAAGGGGTTGGCGGCCTCTTTTAACCTTGCATTTGCCTGTCCACATAGACTACAGATCTGTGCGTGGAACGTATCCAGCAAAGCAAGGGGTATAGTACAAAGGTGAACTGTACTGATAAAAGTTTGTAGCAGTGACCAGGATCCGAACCCACGACACTACTGCCTTGGGCCCGAAGTCCGCGACGCTACCAACTGAGCCACCATAAATATCATGACATTTTGGCTGTAAAAATGACACAAAGAGAAGAATTAATACTATTTAAGTAACTACTGTCATGACAGAAAGGCCATATTCCTTTTAAACTAGATCACATCACCCTTTATAAGATACGTTAATTAACAATGCATTTAAACGTCAATATTTACCTAACAGCCAATTTACAGTATTCTTTGCTTTTTGGAAATGCCACTTTGCTATGTCATTTGCATCATTTGTTGCCAATGAAGTCGCACGCCCATATAAACGAAGAGGCCCCTAACCGTCGATTTCGACGGGTTTCTCCTAGTTAATTATTATTTAATTAAGTTACCACTCACCACTCTACAATAACATCAGCTTTTTTTATAGCACTTGAGCTTGAGACATTTTATCACTTATCCGCAGGTGGCTGTTGAGAGAATGTACAGAAGAGGCAGAAATCATCTGAAAGGTGAAGATGTCAACAGAAGGCAGAAAGTAGAACAGAGACTTAGCGAGTTTTTGGGAGACGCTCTCATTCCAAGGTATGTTGTACTAAGACTTAGCGAGTTTTTTGGAGACGCTCTCATTCCTAGGTATGTTGTACTAAGACTTAGCGAGTTTTTAGGAGACGCTCTCATTCCTAGGTATGTTGTACTAAGACTTAGCGAGTTTTAAGGAGACGCTCTCATTCCTTGGTATGTTGTACTAAGACTTAGCGAGTTTTTGGGAGACGCTCTCATTCCTAGGTATGTTGTACTAAGACTTAGCGAGTTTTTGGGAGACGCTCTCATTCCTAGGTATGTTGTACTAAGACTTAGCGAGTTTTTAGGAGACGCTCTCATTCCTAGGTATGTTGTACTAAGACTTAGCGAGTTTTTAGGAGACGCTCTCATTCCTAGGTATGTTGTACTAAGACTTAGCGAGTTTTAAGGAGACGCTCTCATTCCTTGGTATGTTGTAGCAAGACTTAGTGAGTTTTTGGGTGGTGCTCTCATTTCTCAGTGTATTGTAGTGTAGATTACTCCTTACAGATTTATCACCTTTATAGATTAGCTTAAGACAATCTTAAAGTATGTTACTCAATAGTTGATGTTTAGGGCGTTAGTTGTTTACTCTTAGGTTTTTAATTGCAAATTTTAAAATGATTCTAAACAAATATAATAATCTATTTGTAAATTGTTGGTAGTTCTCTGGTATCATTAACCAGAGAGTTGGTCATTGTAAATCCGTCCTAAAATAAGACACATTTAATAGACATCAGCGAATTAAAACCTGCATCAAGTTTGTCCAATTACTACTACTCTTTCTTTACGGAAAGTAGATAAAAATATATCTAATAACTCTTGAAACAGATTTACACTTTTATACTTTTTATTTATACTTTTTACTCACAATGTGGTAAATACATATAAAGATGGTATGGTAGAACTCCAATCATCCGAATCAATTGGGGCCGGACCCCATTGGGATAGTAAAAAATTTGGATAATTGGATTTTTACAGAAATTCTGGGTATTTTAATTAAAATAGGCTGAGGCAGACGCTTTCATCGGAAAATTTATGCTTACAATTGCAGCATCTGATTTTGTTTTTCTGTGACCAAAGGAGACGATGATGATGTCTACAAGACCTCGGGATATATTTAAAACTTTACCGCGATAAGGAAGATTATGACAATGTTTCTGTGACCACTTGAGACAATGATGATGTCTGCACAACCGTGGGATGTATTAAACATTTTGCCGCGATCACGGAAAACGATGGCGATATTTCCGTGACCGTGGGAGGTAATTATGATGTCAACACAAAGTGAGAAAGGTTTTGGATTTTGACAAGGTCACTGCCTTCTTAAATGACGATTCTTATTACTGTGTTTTGAAGTAAAAAAACAAATATTTCTGTAAGCAATTTGGATAATCAGCGATTCAAATAGTTGGAACTCAGATAATTGGAATTCTACTGTAATTGGTGATCCATTTCTATTGGACACTTTAATCATCATCGGACTTAATAGGCGAATGACAAGGAATCTGAAAAGCATCCCTACTAATAAATTATCTTGGCTACTGGAAGTTTTGGGCAATAAGTTTAAGCAACTAAAACTAATACTCGCTTATCATTAGTTTTAATATTTATATTTTTTAAATTTTTTACAAATACCTTTTTCTTACCATTCATCACATTTCCTTTCTTTTTAGAATTCCTTAAAATACAAATATTTGCCTCCATTTTCCCTAGTGAGTGGCCAGTTTTTAACAAGTGTTGGGGGACATTTTATCTTTCCGGTTAGTATTTTCTCCTTGCAGACTTGAGGTTTTCGAATCATTTAACAAAGTTCACAGTTCATCCAATATAAAAGCTACAACAACTGTTAGCTACAATTTATTCTGTAGTTCCCCAAAGCGTTGAGTTAGTTACAATTTCTATTTGTGGATGCAGTATTTTCTCCTCTCTTTTACAGGTACAATTTAAAACCTCCTGGCTCAGCATTCCCCGGAACTCAAGTTGTGCTGAGTGACTCAGACAGCAAGGAGCAGCATCCGTTTGCTGATGTGGATCTCAGCATTCGCGAGTCGTTGTTGAAGACCTCCAACCAGTCGCTGTTCCCGTACCAGCCAGACACTCGAGGCATGATGCCCAAGCTACACATGTACTCTGTCTTCTCTCTGTCACCTTGCGCCTTTAGACAACCCAAAGAAATCCTCTTCAACTTCATCGGCTCCAATCAGAAGCACCCCTCTATGTTGAAGCGGCGGAAAATCGGCGAGCTGCTACAGAAAGACTTTAAAAGCAATCATTACCGATTTGCTCAAAAGTGGCGACAACAGAATATTCTGAAAAAGACTCGAAGCACCAAATATTGTTCTCCGTCATACAAAAAGTCGAGTGTGGGAGATTTGTTTGGTTTTTTATAACGTTTGATTTTGTCGATAGCCTGTCTGTGATAAAGATTAGATCTTAAGTTAGTTTGTAGTCAGAAAACATTTTACCTCATGATTGGCAGGTGTTGCTAGTAAAAGTTTGGAACCCTCCAATGGTAGTAGTTCTGATTTAAGAATGAAAATTAAAATAATATATTTTTCTATGTAGCCTATACCATACTTGATGTTGCTCTACAGGCATTTTATAAATATCATCCAACAGATAGAGGTATTCATAATAATCTGAAAGTTGAAATAATTCTTATACCACTCAATTGAAACTCAGTTCTTGAGACTTGAGCCTACTGTTTCTTGATTTAGATATATTGTGCCAAATAGTTTTTACTGTATTGTTTATTTGACAAGTGACTCCTTGCCTTTTTGATGCCCTGAACCATCACTTGAATGCTGAAAACAAGTACAATGTCGATCAATATAAATATTTTATTTTAATACAATGTAGTTTTTGTACTTTATATCATTCTCAGTATCTGTACTAAGTATTATTAGCAAAGATAAAATAGTTTGTATACAAATTCATGTTATAACTTATTTAAAGCTTTATATACTAACTGTGGAAAAATGTATTTAAGTCAGTTATGTTACTTGTACAAGTGTAGTAGTTATTAGACTTATTTTAAAATTGATGTAATTTGAATTACCTGTAAATAAAATCCTTGTTGCAAACCATAATGTTGAATTTATTTTTTTAACGTTGGTTCCCTGTTGAATAAGGAATTTAATTTTGACACATCTTTCTTGTTATAGTATTTTAACAATTGTTTTAATCAAAGGTACACCATCTCTGCATTTTAAAATTACTAGTTTTTCGCTTCCATAGCTTCTGTTATCCTCGATGAAACCAGCTCAGTCAGCCAGTCACTTTACCAAGATCATTGAATTCCACCTAGTCGTTTGTTGTGAGATCAAATGTCTTCCTAACACCTGATTCCTGATTGAGTTTGTAGGAATGAAGCAATGAAGCTTCAGTAAAGTCCGATTCACTGTAACTATTTGAAGTAGGCGCCAAGGACAAAACACGCATGCGCGCCGACTCCCGGCATGCCTTGCCCGTCAAGCGGCGCCATTAGCCTTGTTATTCTTGCTGAGTGCTGTTTATAGTGCCAGTTCAAAATGTTTAAGACAATTGATTGACCCGCCGATTTTGAAGTAAGGGCAGTGATATGGCTGCAAGAAACGTTTCAGTGGCAGAAATTCATCGACAGATTACTGAAGTATACGGTCCTAACATAATGAGTGACAGTTAAGTGTGCAAGTGGGTGCAAGCTTTTAATGAACAACGGGAAAATGTGCATGATGAATCACGGTCTGGCCGACCATCAGTTCATCAGAAGATTTGGTCAATACGATTGACCAAAAAATTCGTGAAGATCAACTATTTCAGACCTCTACTTGTTTTCCACCTTTTGATTTCCTCTTGTTCTGGTACGAAGGAGTTAGTTAGTTGGCGGCAAGCGCTTCGTCACGGATGATGAAGCAAAAGAAGCAGTTAAAAACTGGTTATCTTAGCAGGCGGCCGATTTCTACGACTTAGGCATTCAAAAGCTTGTTGAGATTTGAAAAATGTTTAAATAAGCATGGAGATTATATAGAAAAATAGACAAATATGCAAGCAATGTAGATTAAACAATTGTTTTTGAAAAATTTTTATTTTTAATTTGCTTTTCTTAACCGGACCTTACTTTTAGAATAACCCTCGTAACTATTAGGAGATTAAAATAGTCTTAAAGGGCATGACGGGTAGTCTGTTAAGTAGCTGTTTGGCAAAAGTTTTAGACTGTAAACATGAACATAAACAGTGACACTTAAATCACAGTTAGAACTTAGCCAATTTAATAAAAAATAATTTTCCATCAAGTTTTCTGTGGAATATACAACAAAATATATTATTTATTTGACAATTGGTTATAGATGACTGTAGTAGTTTTCATGGACGACCATGGATTTTGTGATGGCTTCTATTGAAGAACAACCTGAAACAAATTAATTTTTATCAACCTACGCTTGTTATCATGGGAAGATAGTTCTTGAAAGACCTCAGGATTGGTACGGTCAGGGAAAACCTGGAAAAGTCAGAGAATTTTGTTGGTCAGGAAAAGTCAGGAAATTATGAAAAGATTCTGGAATTTCTTCCGAAAGACAACCATTTGACAGATATGCTACATTTGAGTCTAAACATGTTTTTGTCAGGGTGATGACTAATGGCAAAAATAACGACATAAGCACTTATGCATATTTTTATATCGATAATTAGTAATCGGTATGGGTAGGAATCAATATGTATAGGCCTATAGTTTGAAAATAGTTTTGTGTTTGGGAGTGATTAAATGAGTTGAATATTTACATTTTTTTCTAATATTTCTTGATTTTGATTGGTCGATATCAACTTACGGTATACCTGGAAAAAGTATAATGTCAGTCTGGAAAACCTGGAAAAGTCAGGGAATTTTACATTTTAAATTTAGTACCAACCCTGAAAAGAGGTTAATTAATTTGGAATGTTAAAGTATCTCTGTTGAAGCATCAGATAAGTACTTGAAAAGGTGATGCAAATTTCTAGCCAAGTTTGAGTGACAGATAAGTGGTTTTTGTTGTCTTCGGAACTTTAGTAATGTTTGTTGTCTAATTCAGCTCTGTTGTCTTGTCAATACTGTGTCAACGAGTCTTTAGTTTAACCCAATCATCAGCACTCACCTTCACCACTTAATTAATATAAAAACAGGGGGGAATATCATCATCGAGCCATACTCTATTTATTTGCTACAAAGGGTCAAAACTTAATACTTTTAAAGGTCGTAGAGAGAGCAGTGGCGGCGCTTCAATTAGGGCCAAGTAGGCCGGGCCCACCCAAAATAGTAAAGTATATTCTTAAATACTTTATAGGTTATTTGGTTGATATTATTCAATAAATTTCAATATAAACTAATAACTAACTTTCCACGGGTCATAACTTTTGTTGAAATACAATGCAATCATATCGTAACGCATTGGAGGGCCATGGATTTAAGGCCCTTCTAGCCATTTTTTTTTTTTCGTTTTGTCATGAGAGCAAGAAACTCCCTGACTGCTAACCCGGTACCTATAATTAAACATACCCGGGCCCCATGATGTAGGCCGAAGCTTTCGCACCGACCTTTGGTACACCATGGGAGGATGACTTAAGGTCATCAAGCTCACCGGCTGCCGAAGCAACCCTTCGGAAAGAGGGTTGCCCCTCAATCCTAACCAGGGATACCGGCTACTTGTTTAAGCGTCACTTCACCTGGGTTCCCCCAGGTACGGAACCCAGAAGGACCATAGTGAAATGCCCTGACGCATTTAGTGCAAGCAACACTCGGGACCTATCCAATCCCTGACAGGCAAAACCCGCCATCAAAGCCAGGAAGAAGGGGACCAACCACCCATTTACACCACTACCCGATCGAGGCCTTACCCAGTTGCTGGGAAACCAGAGGTGACCAAGGCGATAGACCCCTGAACACCCCCAGCGGGCTTGAACCCAGCACCCGATCTACTTCATTTGCCCATCAAGCCCAACATCACTGCCAGGCCGTCAGGGTTTCCCAAAAGGAGGCAGGAATAGAAGTGGGTCCCACCCGGATGAACCTATCCACCAAAGGTGGCGACACCCTTTGCTCAATTGAGGTTCCAGGGAGAACCCCCCACACTCTAGATAACCATACTTTCCGGTCTCAGAGACAGGGATTGGCTGATGGAGTGCGCCCAGCCGTTGCCCTCACACTGCGGAAAGTTACGTTCCCCTAGAGTGTCCCCGTGAACTGACGGGTACTTGCCCGATTTCACCTCCAGGAAGGCTACTTCCAAAGTCGAGGATTTGCCACACTGAATGCCGGTCGCACATCAACAAGCGGGCCGGAGCCCTTCTAGCCACCATAAGAACGTAATGTACAAGGCAACGCCAGCCGGCGGCGCTTGACTATCAGCGAACAATACATTGGCATAAGGAACAGGGTGGGCCGATTTGAGCTGGCCCACTGGACATTGATTCTCAATATTCTCGCTGGGAGTGCTGAGCGCTAGTGTAGCTTTTTTTACACCCCCTTTACCTTTTTACATCCCGCAGTTTATATTGTACACCAACCGGCAAACGGGTTGTAGTTGTAATATTTTATGAAATAATAAGTTAACAGTTTTAGTTAGTTTTGTAATATTGTTTTTAGAGATTTATTAGAGTAGCCATATTACGGTTTTAGTGATCATAAAGTTAAAGGGGTGATGGTGATAAATTTAGAAAATAACATACCATTTTTTAACCAACCCAACTTCTAATCAGGTGCCTCAAATGATAAAAACCCATCTAATTTATGTCAAAAATTTTAAACAATTTCCGGGGGAGGACCTTCCCCCCTCCCACTACACCCCACAATGTCCCGGCCCACCCTACCGTTCAGGTAAGTAAAGCGCCGCCACTGGAGAGAAGATAATTTAGGGAGGTAGCGGAGAGAGCTCCCATTCTTTGTTGGGTTCAGTTACATTAACATTTAGATTATGACCTTGAATCAGTATCTACTTGTAGGCACTGTAGTAAACTGATTTTTACCCGTAACAACTTTCACATATTAAACACCGAGTGTTATGTTTTACGCTACAGCTGGCCCTTGCCCACACAGACGTACCTGCCAAAGCCATTGTTGTGTGAAGTTCTTTCTTGAGAATGTTGAGTATTCTCTCCACCCCCTGCTGTCCGCTGTGTGTCAACCCCCACAGTGCTGGCCGGCCCACAAATACCTTCACAAACCACACTTTGATTAGCTTATTAATTTGAAGAAGCAAAATCTATGTTGGAAGTATGTAGTATTGTTAATTTATTGTGATATTGCTTTAGCCTTATGAAGGGGAGATAATTGATTTACTTAGGACTCTTTAATGAGACAAATTAACACAAGTAAATTGCACTGAAGGTTTTTTTTTTTCAATTTGACTTAACTCTATAGCTGACTGAATAAGCCATATGATGTAGGTACTGTATAAATACCAAGAACTAAATTCCTATTTGGATTACATCTTGTCTCACATGTGGACAGACTAATTCAAGGTTAAGAAATGCCACCAATCCACCTGTATATTATTTGATTTCCAAGTTTTATCTAGTTCTTCACATTCTTACATGCTTATATACCTACTAAAAAAAGGTCATCATCTCAATCAACATTACAGTACATAACTGCTTAACGCTATCCATTGCTTGGCTTACCATTCTTGCTCCCAGAGCAAGTGCCTTGAACACATCTGTACCAGTTCGGACTCCTCCATCAAAGTATATTTCACATCTATCTCCAACTGCTCTTACAATTTCAGGGAGCGCTTCTATCTGTAATACGAATATTCAGTACAACAAAATAAAGAAATGATTTCAAAAATATTAAATTAGATTCCTGTAACCACTACCAAATTAGGTAAGTTAATTTTTTTTCTCTGATTTTCCTGTTAAGATAATAATACAGATTAAAGTACAGTAATTCACTACCAACTCCTTTGGTGTTACTGTATGTATATTTACCATCTCATGTTGCAGAACAGTTTTGTGTGGCTTAAGTATAAAAAGGTTGTCCGTAAATCAAATTAGTGTTCAATCAACCACAAACCTTACAATAAACAATTCATACTTGGTGGGGCCTTAAATTTCCCCCTCATTATTATCGCTACTATTATTTCTCTGAAATTGATAGTTGCATAGAGATAGGGACACTGTGTAAAACACAGTGCTGGTGTTTACAGAAAAACCTCTACTTCAAATCTCCACTATGCACCAATTTCATTTAGATTCTCTTAGTAAAAAAAAAAACTTTTTATGATGATGGGATAGGTGTAATGTTTTCTATAATCAGTTACCGTAGCTGGGACAGTGTCAAGTTGTCTTCCACCGTGGTTGGACACTTGTATGCCAGCCACTCCAAGGTTGGCAGCAATGATAGCGTCGTCTGCTGTCAGGATCCCCTTTAGTACGATCGGAAGCTTGGTGATACTGTCAATTAAGAGTGTTATTAAGTTTTTTTTTAAGATTATGGATAATATATACCTACCTTATATATGTATCTCTCAATCTATTGTATTGTTATGGAAGCAAGGTGGTTTTTGCATGTCCGTCTATTTGTCCCGGATGAATGTTAAGACTACTAAACCATCTCAATGAACCTTGACACAAATAAATGTAGAACATATACCTGGCCAACAAATAAGCCTATCTATGTCCTTCAAATCCCCTTGGACTAAACCTGGTATACATCCAAAGTTTCTTGGTAGAAATCTTGCAAGTAAATATTATTTTAATCTCCATGGCATAAAAACTATAATGTCTACATTTTACCAGGTAATTTACATTTAATTTGTTTACATTTTTATTTGATCATAAATAAACTAATTTAATTTCATAATAATTGTTTACTTTAATTCTATTTCCAACTGAAATAAAAATAAACTAAAGAGAATTTTGTAATGGAATTTAGTTTCTGTCGCCAGTGTAACTGTTTCCATCGTAGATTCAAGAACTACCTACCTGTACATTTATACTTTGCTACATCCTTGTCCTATTGTAAAACACTAAATTCCAAGGGTTTTATAATTTTTAAGAGCTATTAATTAAAAAGGCTATGTATAATTCTACCTTTTCAGCCACTTCACATCATCCCAGGTAACTCCTTGATCAAACAGCGAAGCAACATACGCACCCAGACTTGACTGATTGTCCTTCACTTCATTGATTTGAGTTGCTTTTTCATCTACAAAGTTTGCAAGCCTGTAAGCAAAATTTAATTAGAAGATTATTTTACATCACTACCATCAGATGTAGGGTAGCTGTGTTGTCGGGAAGTTGTACATAGTTAAGTGGTTGAATTGTTATTCTAATAATCAGTAACCTTGGTTCAATGCTGAGGTAAGCCAGTTTATTTTATGGTTGAAACTGGATCCGGCTGTCAATCCTTGATCATTGTACACACTTAAAACATTATCTCAGATAAAACAACCTATCAAAGTCGGTAACAAAGCTACCCAGCATCTTACTCCATTCTACTCTCATTCTTCACTAAAGATTTTACTATGACAATGACGTTCCTATGCTAAAATTGTATTTTTAGCTAAAAATAGGTGAATGTAGAACCGAATGAGATAATCTGTGTTGCGTTAAGCATTGTTACTAACAAAGCCTACCAGCTGATTCTGTATAAAGGTGGGAGTGACGAATGAGAGAGATGACAGCTTTGTTACTGTACTGGTTTAGATCAGCTGATTTTGCTAGGACCATTTAGGACAGTTGGGTTTATTAATGAGTATTTAGGTTTTCTGCAACAGGAAAGTTATAATAATGTGTGATTATTTAGTGAAATGTTAATAACTTATACTGTAGTTTGAAATAAAAATACATTAGCCAATGCTCATCAAAATAAACAAGCAAACTAAAACACTTTTCCTACAGTTACCTAACAATGTACATGTTCTCTCACTGATTTGAGAAAGCAAAGTGGCCAATTCGCTCATCAGTAAGAAAATGTTAACATTGTCTCACTCTAATTACTTTGTCTCACTCCAGATTTGCAACGTGAAGGCACGAAATAGTGAGCGCGTAACATGCAGGCAACGTCGTATGCGCGCGAAATACGTTGGCAGCACTGGCTGTAAATCAGCTGGTCAGCTGTTGTACTGTTGTATTTGTCACTTCACATTAAATGTTATATTAAAAGTTCACTTCTGTGTAAAAAAAGGTTATGTTTCTTCACCAATTTATTTGTTTTATGGTAACTGTAGGAAAAGTATAATGTGCAACTCGAGTTCAAAGTACAATTACCTCACTCGAGAAACCATTCCTCACTCCCCTACGGCTCGTGAGTAAGGATTTCTCTCGAGTGAGTCAATTGCTCATTTTCTCACTAGTTGCACAAATAACTATTGTCTTGTCTCCATTAGAATAACACGAGAATATTAAATTCGCAATTCTTTGGATTAAAAGATTTTCTGCTCATTAAGCGCACAACAAAGCTCCAATATACTAAATTATTGGTTTTTAAAAATCTACCACAAACATGTCAGTAGTAGCCTATATACCAATTGTGTGTGTTTTTTTAGCATTTAAAAAAATATATCAATTTGAATCTAAATGAAAAAGTGGATTGGTCTTTGGTCTAGGTCTTATATTGAGACCTACAATATAATACCGGTAGCTTATTCTAAATAGAGGAAATTCGCTAAGAAGCTACCGGTAAAATAATGGTTAGTTACGTCCTCATCTTAGTTGGGGATATGAAGATACACGATTGTTACTTTAACCACCTATTGTGCAATGGTAGTAAAAGAGGATATTTTATGTAATGAATCTCCCAAACAAAATTTGAAATTTATACTTCATTTATACAGTTACTACATGTAGGCCTATTATATTTCTATAATACCTGAGATGTGGTGGTAAACAGAACTGGTTTCTCACATCAGGGTATCGGATGCCAAAGATAGGTGCGTCTACAGTCAAAACCAATGCTTTGAATCCATTATTTTCTGCACGCTGGACTAGTCTCTTTGTCACTTCCCTATCAACAAAAAAAAAAAAAACACGAAAAATTGCCAAATGATTATTTTGTGCTAGGATAGGGATCAGCCAGCTTACCTGGTAGATCCATTTACCAATAAAAATTGGTAAATATTTTGGAGGATGTGATGTGATAACAGCAAAATTGCTCACTGAGAATTACAGTGTGAATACTTGCAGTTTGAAATTAAAGTTTAAAAAAAATAGCTGCTGCTATCACCTGTATTTGTGTTCTTTTGGGTTGTAGGATGACTGTATTTATGTCCATGGCTTAAGCAGTGTAGGGCTTAAACAGGGTTACTTGCCACCCACAAAAAAATGAAACCATTAGTAATGACCCCTGGGAAGAACTACTGATAAAATCATGTTTTTCTCTCGGAGTGTTTTTTTGGAACAACTGGTTTCTCAAAACTATGAGTCAAGACACCCTTCTCTATGTTTCGTACAAAGTATGATTACTTATTTTCGGAATCAAGCATAAACTGTACTATATCCTCTGAAAATAAGTTTCCAACGAATTCCAGCGCCTGTCTAATTGCCACAAACTGATCAAAGACAAAGATATGAAAGACGATGATCTTGTGTTTCCCTATTTTGTGCAGATAGATCATAAAATATCATCACCTGTCTTTGTAGATATACAGCTGGAACCATTTGATAGTCCGAGGAGCGTCAGTGGCTAGTTCCTCTAGGCTGCTAGTGGCTATCGTTGACAATGTAAATATTGTTCCCAACGCTCCAGCCGCTGAAACATCAGCAATATTAAAAACTTGAACATGACACAAGCAATGCTATCACGGTCATTAAACTCTGACACTACAAACTAGGTTTTCTGGGTATATATTCGTGCCATAGAAAAAAACTTCATTAAAATTTGATGTTTTGGCCTTGTTGCACACATCAGCCTCCAGTCGTCAGAGAAGTTTACTGGAATACATGTCAGGCACTACTTACATATTTAAATCTTTCATCCATCTAAATTCAATGTATATGTTCGGTGGTTTTCGTAGTGAGGACCTCTCAAACTTTGGATACTGGTTTTAATAATTTTGGGTTTTTCAGTCAGGTCGATAGAGCTCACCACTGTTTTTTCCTAAATTTAGAAAGACTGCAATTTGGAAAGAAAATTTTGAGTGCCTATATTTCAGTATTTTTAGTGGGACATTGTATTTTTCCTACAGTCACCCGACAAAGTGGGCTTCCTTGCACAGATTATAGTACAGAAAGCCTTACTTTGGCGCACACCAGTATTCCAACCAACCAACATAAAACAGCGTGCTTTTACTATGCACGTAATCCGTGTACGCTTGGAAATAAGTTGGCATTACTTAAAGATATTACGACTATGATCAGCTGGTGAAGCGTTTCCCATTTTATTCAATGTTTGGATTTAACCTAACCGAAAACGTGTTGTAAAGTGTTTGAAAGACTAATTATTTATATGATTTATAGTACGGTAACTGTAGGAAAAATATAATGGTTAACACAAGTGCAAACTGCCTTTGCTGCACTTGAGAAACTTTCCACACTCGCCTATGGCTCGTGCGTAAACATTTCACTTGTGTACAGAAAAGTGCCAGCCCAATAGTTACACAAAAGACTACTAGCACAAAAAATCCATCCAGGTGTATAATACATAGATTAAAGGAGTAGAAACTTTTTTAATATCTATGATAATATTTTAGACGTTGGACTCACTTTTAGCAGTGAATACAAAACATATGGAGAGGCATTGTTAGTTCAAAAATCTGCTGAGGTTTGAATGCGCAAGTTCCAGGTATTACTTATATTAATTAATGGTAAGGTAGGTAATATAGGACTGTTAAACAGGGTTTAGTTGGATACCTTTGGCATTGGCACACTCTCCGAGTGGATGAGCCATTTTCTGCATGGCTGTTGGAGCAATGCCAATGGGTAGCGAGACCCTCTCCCCCAGTACTGTAGTGGACATTGTCAACCCCGTCATGTCTATCAGCATCCTTGGGCGAATACGCAGCCTACATCGTACAATAATGTTGGATTACATTAATACATCATCAACACACCAGGGTGATTATTCTTCATTTTGTGTTTCTACTCCATTGGCATTTTTATGTTTTTTGTCAGAAAACGGTTGAAACCCTGATTTTTTTACTATTTAAGATAAAAATCAAACTTTTACATTACATGTATTGATAGCCGAATGGCATGCGTTATCTGGTCCCAAAAATGCTCTGCTTGGAATTAAACCAGCAACCTTCAGATTTGAAGGCAAGCACAATTGAATGGCTCCCTGGAAAAACGTTCCATGCGCCGTTTTGTAAACTTTACAGAAACTAAAAAAACGTTAAAAGAGTAATTTTTAAAGATTATTTTTGGATTTTTTTTAGATTCTACTTGATAGGTCTAGTCAAAACAATGTTGTAAGGATTTTTTTCAAGTAAAAATCCAAATTATTAAGCTTTTGACATTTTAAGTGTAAATGTAGTGGAAAAACGTTGCTTGGGCGTAGTTGATATTCACAAGCAACGTTTTTCTACTGAAACATAGCATTCTACAATACTGGCGTTTGGAACGTTTTGTAAAGAATAATGTTTTAATAGCTGCAATAATTCATTATTTTTATTGCTTAGGTACAGAAATTCTCAAACTGCAAGTGAAAGATTTTTTTTACAATATTGAATCTTATTTTACTAAAAGAATACACAATATCTTGTTAATGAAACGTACATAACCCCTAGCATTTGCTGTATTAAGCTGATATTGTTTGTGTGCTTGGGACTTACAATATTGCACTTCATTTAACTAAAAGAACACACCAAATCTTGTAAAAAAACGTATTATCTTGGTACAGTATAAGTCAGTCACAAAAGGTAAAGTCTTGCAGCCGTTGTGTGTGCAGGAACATGAGAAATCCTTAAATAAATCAGCCCATTCACTTAACAAAAATAACATATAAGACAGTAAACAGTAAATTAACAACAGCTAGGTTGTAATTTACTAATAATAAGTATTTAGAAATGGAAATTAAATTCCTATGTCCTGGTAAATATTCTGGATCACAAACGTTTTAGTGTTCAACTGTAGTGTGCATTGTAGCACAAGTAACGTTTTTCCAAATACTTCAGAAATAGGTACTTTTTCAGGCACTACTTCATTTTTCTAGTTTTTTTTACTCTTTCCCGCTATTTCTATGACTCTTCTCAACTTTCTTCTTCCAAAAATCTATGTTTAACTTTAGTTTTTTGCCTCTATTTAATTGTTTAATAAGGCTTGACACTGGTGAAGACATGGTCTTGTCTGCCCAATACGCTGCACAAGGAACGTTCTTCCAGGGAGTGCCAAATTCCCCTACCCATAATTCAATGTTTTAGTTATAAAATCGGCCAAAAGATGTCACCACTTGATAGACAAAAGCACAAGGAACGTTTTTCTATCAAAAACCTGCAAACTCTAATTCTGGCGCTTGGAACGTTTTTCCGGGGAGCCATTCAATTACTGTTAGATTTTACATGTTAACAGATCAGAGGTAAATATCAGCAAAGTGTACAAAACGCTTCTTCAACCTTGTTTATCAAAAAGTGGTAGACTCCCACCATTGTTTGCATTGTTATAACCTTAGTATTATTGGAACGCAGCGGAGCGGAAGTCTGGTACCGTAACTCTCTTTCGGAAAGATAAAAATATTGGCATAAATCTATTCATACAGTATTTACGTACAAATCACATTAGTTCAGGCACCTAATTTTTTACAAATCGAGCACTGACTGGATACGCATTATCCAAGGCATTCTTTCTCTAGGGGACTTGTAAGAATAAACTTTTAAATTCATGAGAAACAAATATATTAACGAAAGGAATCCACACTTATTTAGATCACACAAACATAAACACAACAAAATATATAAAGTATTAAACATATGATCTTGAGACAAATGTACATTCAAACAGTTCAGGGGCAAAATTGTCAATGTTCCAATAAGTATTGTACCCTGGTCAAACTAATACAGTCAATATTATTATTTATAAGAAATAAATGAATAAGTTTCGTTTAACTTAACAGTCATTATGAGTGCAAAAAAAGTGAACCAAGTAAACGATTCAGTTGCAAACATTTACCTCAATCCCATATTCACCTAACCGGTACAACAGCATAGTATCAAACGTCAAACCATATGACCATAGACTAATAGAATAAATATAGACTGTCAAAGGAAGCTTCCGGCACCCACCGCTAGGAGTGCCGTATAGTTACGGCGCACACCGCTGCAGGCAAGGAGTGCAGGAGCCTACCTGCAGCAGTGTGCGCCGTAACTACACGACACTCCTAGTGGTGGGCGCCGGAACATATGATAACCGCAGCACTGCTGCCGGTCTGTATTCATTCCATTTGTCTATGATATGACATATCAGTTTGGTCAGTTCCCCCACTGAAGAGAATACACGGGGTATCCCACTCCACACTATACTTTCTACAGTAAGAAATTCAAACTTGCATTACATGCAGTAAATTAAAAAGTAGGCTAGAATGCTTCTAATTTTCCAAGTCATTTTACTATTACTTATATAATATTACCCACAAGTAAAATAGGTGTTTACCTTCGAAAGGCCTCTCTATTGAGACCCAAAGTGTGGCCATGTTCAGCTCCACTGCTGTAGTAGTCAGCTGCAGGTTTTGGCAATGTTGATAACGCAAAGGTTTCAAAGTCATCAACACAGCAAAACTTGTCGCCTGACATATTCTGACAAAAGAATTACTCCTGTACAAGGGCGGTCCCTGGGGGGTGGGAGAAAGAAGAGAAAGAACTCGGTTTTGATTGAAATTAGCATGATGGTCCTAATAATTCTTAACAAAATAGTTCAACAAGTAAAATAGCAAAATAGTTGAGCTGTAAATAGTTCATTGCTGTAAAAATTATGGTTCACAAGTGAATGCAACTTTTGTGATTTTACCTACAAGCTGGTTTGTAAAGAAGAGTGTGATACTTGATTTGAAAACTTATCGATTAAACATTTTTGAAATTTATCTCATACTGATATCTATTACAATAATATGCAGGTATCTGAAACTAAAGTAGTCCTGAGAGCTAGTAGGGTACAGCAGACATGAAAATTATACCAAAAGGTATATTCAGTTTGGAAATTGTTTTGTCGATCAGCTTGTTAAAATCAGCTGTTTCATTCAGTTGACTGCTATAAATCAGCTATGAACAAGAGATTACAAGAAGCTAGTTGGCAGCTTGATAGTGCAAGTTAATTTTCCTCTTATTCTACATTTGTTTATTTAGCTGAATGCCTAGATAAGATAACAATACATTGTAATGAGATACTTCACTCCTAATATTTTTTTCCAAATATTTAAATTTTTAATTTTTAATTACCAAATAATACAGCAGAATACTTTGTAAAAATCTATACATTTATTTATATTTTATCATAGCATTTATCATTACTAGCATTTTTTTCGTTCATTTGTGCCACCAAAGTTTGCATTACTGTAGAAAATGGATATCTATCAAACATCAACTATAATATAAATTCAGATTTCAGTTAGTTGTCTAGTTTGTATATTTTTCTAAATGTAAAATGATTACATAATTTCTAGACATTTTGCTTAGTATATTTAACTTTAAATATACTAAGCATTACTTTTAAATGTTACTTAAAAATCAAAATTTTATATGCTCATACAACAAATTACACTAAATCAAGAAAAATAAGTTAAATAAAGCTAAAAAAGGGGTGTAAATACACACAGTGAATGATAAAACACACCCACCTTCAAATAGGTATACTGACTGCTACTGCAAATGTCTTGTGAAAATCAGCTGATACAGAGATGATGTTGGAACTTGTCCCCTTACAATCAGCCTTCTTATCAGACAGGGCCACTTTTGCAATTAAACTGTGACCAAAATGCTGCTTTAAGTAGTACAAATGTTCAAATCACAAAACTAATCACCCGTTTTCAAACTAAATTAAATACATTATTTTAACATTATTATTTCAGTATTGTTAACAATTAATTTGTAACATCTTGTAAGATAAAATAGATAAAATAAAAAGTTGGTCTTATCTGTGTGCAGCAGGTTTCAAAAACCCCTGTGTACATATTGGCCCTAAATATAACACTTAAAACCCTTAAAAGTAAACACCTTCTGTAAAGGTACTTATTATCAAACTGATTCGTTATCATGGTTGTCTATATACATACAAATTCCCGAGAACGTCCCGTAGTAGAATGAGTGCACTCTTTTTCATCACCTTCACCTAAAAACCAGTATGTACTCTTCTATTATTTTCTTTCTTATTATATTATTCTTTATTATTTTTTAAAAGCACGACCTGCCGGCCAAAAATTAAAAGAAAACTAAGGCGTATTAACATATCATACCAACATATTCCCTTTGAAGTGAATTTCTTTACGTTTATAACCATTAAGAGAATGATATCTAAATGCTAATACAGCATAATATTTGTTAATTTATAGTGCATGCCATACCAGAGATTAACATACCTTCTTTAGATTTGTTATCCTTATGGATCAGGTCCGGTGCTTCTAGGATCGGTAAGTTCTTGCACTTCACTCCTAACAACTTCATCCAAATAAGATTTATTTAAATTACGAAATAATACAGAAGAAAACTTTGTAAAAATCTATACCTACATTAATTCTATTTGTCTTGTAGCATTTATTTGTTCATTTTTTTCACCAAAGTTTGCTTGCATACTGTAGGAAATGGATCAAACATACTAAACTTTTGTAAATTCAGATTTCAGTTAGGAACTTGAAACAAAATCCCACAGTGAATGATAAAACACACCTACCTTCAAATTAGGTACTTATAAAAAAACTACTTATAAATTATTAGGTAGGCCTACTTATAAATTATACTTGTAAATGGTCCCTGTGAAAATCAGCTGACACTATGGATGACCTTGAGACTTGTCCCCTCTTTTACAATCAGCCTTCTTATCAGACAGGGCCACTTTTGACAAATAATGGAAACTGCTTGGTCAGACAATCCTTTGACATGCAGTATATATGTGCTATATGTATCAGTTATTTAATCAGTTGCTTAATGGCCAAATAAATCATTGAATCATTGAATCAAATATCTCTCCCCATCGTCAGGCTAACAAAAGCATCCACTTGATGAGTCACCAGAACAAATAAATAAAACACATTTTACACAAAACATAAAACCTATAATAATATGTAAATCAATTGCACCATTGCTGGACATGACAGGAAGCAGACAGTCTGCTAATGAATGAATGAGAGTATCAAAATTAATTTTAAGGGTCACTTTTCCCATCAAACTGTGGCCGAAAAGCATTGCTTGAAGAAGTTCAAGTTGTAAACCTTTTCTAATGAAACTCGAAACTGTTTTATATAACTAGCAGAGTATACCCGTCCTTCGTCCGGGGTTGACGTATGTTTAAATAAATGGTGCTTTTTGAAATCTGAAATGAAAAACAGTGTAAAATAAGATTCAATTCCAATAAATGTACCTATCAATAACTTATCAAAACACATTTTCAAACTATAAAACAAATAAAAAAAAACTCCAAGCTTTTACTTACTTTTAAATGATAAAATCAAACATAGATAAACAATCATTTACAACATCTGATTAATATTACAGTTTGAATGAAAAGAAACATGTGATCTTGGTTCTAAAAAGCATTGCTCACTTAGCATTGATTAAACAAAATAACTCATTATATATACTATTCGAACAAACAAAAACATTAACACTCAGTCCTACTATTTATAGCTCATACTATTCATGCACCAAAGGAAGGTGCATATACAACTTAAATTAATTTAATACGATAGTTTAATTTAAATTTATACACAGGTTTTAACGTGCAATAACTTAAATAAGTTTTTGATATAAGTCCTTGAAATAACGGATAACCCCAAATAGGCCTGAATAGTATGGTTAGGTTAGAATGAATTGGAATTTGACAGCATCCCACCAACCGATCACACGGCCAACCTAACAACACGAAACACCGAAAACAAACCACCAAAAACAGTGGCACGTTTTCTCAAATGCTTAACCAGAGAGTAGTTATTCCAGTTATTATCTATCTCAATGGTCGCTAATAGCGAACTACAACTAGCGGCTCGCCAAAAACGGCACACGGAAGATTTCTCAGGTGCTGCGTTTGACGTCACTAACTGCTGACGTCACTTTGAGGAAACACCATTACCGCAACGATACGATTTTGAGCCACCGGCCTGGGACGGGTGCCGTCGTCCTGTAATCCAGCTACTAGGAGGTCACGAATTGTGGATATTTATAGGCATGCACTGTGGATGCGATACTACGATAGTACTACGACTATCCGCAGTACTATCCTGATAATTAGACCAATTCGTATATACCAAAGAAAAATGTGGTAGCTGTATGGGCTATTAATTAACAGCTGTGTCTAAGGAATGTCGGCCTTAGTCACTAACAAGACTACAAGATCGCGCCACTCATCCTACACTCATCTCCATTCATACTTGGCTTAAAATACCTACTATGTATGGTCGCCATTTCATTGAATAGTATTCAACAGTATTGACCAGTGGTGTGATGGATAGCGTGTTGGGCTGATAATCCGTATGTACCGGGTTCAAATCCCGCTGGTAGCACTAACTTTTTGTCAAAAATTTTTTTCATATCAGCAAGTTTGGTTGGTTTGGTTAGGTTATGACGGTTTAATTTTATAATTAAAAAATTATGAAATTTAATTTCAGGCATTTATAATTTTATTTTATGAACAAAACTATTTTTTAGGTTAGTAAACCTTCATTCGACTTTTCCATTATCAGCACGTTTGGTTAGGTTATGACAGTTTAATTTAATAATAGAAAAAAATAGAAAATTGTCTGTTTCTTCAGACGCAGCAGTTAGTGACGTCAACCGGCACCAGAAGAAATCTTCCGTGTGCCCCACCGGCGACTCGCTAGGATATAAATTTCGTCCTTGTGAGCTCTCTACCTCACGTTCACGTTGGTAATATTAGTCTTGGAGTTTGCTACTGTAGTGTAGTTTGAACCCTGCATCAGATTAGGCACTGTTCTCAGTTCGAGCATAGATAAAACATGTTCGAGGCAGTGCATAAAAGATTCTTGACACCAATATTGGATGTTATTCTTGACACCCATATACCAATTATATATGATATATGGGTTTGATTCTTGACACCCATATACCAATATGGGATGTGGACTTGAGTGAAATAAATGTATACCGTCTGAACCTTCCACCTTTGTCTGCATGAAGAATACTCTTCTCGAGTATTTTTAAGTTGTAAATTAATAATTAATTAATATGCAAATTTTTAATAATCAACTTACACTGTGTACAGTAGCTGGACATTGTTTCTGCTGCCACCAGATTTGTAGTATTAATTGGTGTATCATGGTGTATCACCGTTCGTAAATAAATAAGATAAAATTACAATCTGACAATTACAAATTAACCTTAATTATTTATTCTAAACCCCCCCCTCCCGTATAATTTTTGTCGTATAGGTAAAATAGTTAAAATGGATTGGACAGCCACTGCAAAATATTATAGCACGCAAGCACGGCCACCTTTTGTTTTAACTCATTATAGTGATCGTTTCAGTTTTAACTTATTGGCCGCACTAAATCTGACAACATGGTGAACATATCGGCAATCCTGCATCTACACCTGTAGCCAATCACAGAATTGCGCTCAATTTGGCGTTTACTTGTGTACTAAAGCGCATCTTCTATTCGTCAAAGGAATAACGTACTAGTTCGTCAGACCAGATGCAGAAAGGATGGCCGTGTTGTTGTTCTGCAAGGAAGCTCACTGTTGCAAAAGCCAGAGCTGGTTCTCCAATGGTGTTTTTAGTTGTAAAATATCACGGGACTTTATGTGACATTGTTTAAAGTGAACACTTTAAAAGACTAAGGCGTTTTATGGCCTAGTGAATGAGTAATTCTTTATTTTCGTAAATTGTATGTCAGCAAGCTCACCTAGGGTTGGCTTATGGTGGCGTCTGGTGCGGATTTTATTATAAGACTTTGAATGTAAATGTCAAATGGGTGATCAGACAATTGAAAGAATACCGATGGATCTAGCACCTACGCCAGTTTTGAAGGTTGAGCCTCCAAGAAACTCTCCAGGGGTAAGACACATTATCAGCCCTTTTGTTCTAGTTTCACCTCATTTATAACTGTAATTCTTCTTTAAATCATAATTCATGTAATATCCAAGTATCTCCATTGATTGCACAAAATTTTGCCTTTGTTCAAACATTTACGGTCTAGGCTTAGGTACAGATCAAGGCTAGGTTTAGACCAATGGATAGGCCTAGGCCTAAGTTACTTACATCATTAGATAATTTTTTGTAGTGTTCATCCTTGAACTCTTTGTAGGATCAGTGTAGGCTAGTAACCAATGTAGTTTAACTTAGTCAGTTATAGATAAGTCTAGGCCCTACAAAATGCCCCTATTCAAGTAGTATGGCTCAAGCCAAACATTTAAAAATGTGTGTAGGCTAAGTTAGCTCAATCACTCCTCAAGATAGGCTGGACTGGGAAGTCACGAGCTAGGGGACGGTTATGATTAATGCTCATGGTGCCTAACAGACATCTTAGTCTTAGAATTAAGTTTAATTGTTGAATTTATTTCAAAGCCAACTCTTAAAACTGCAGGGAGACCCCTTTTTCCAGTCCAAAACCATTAACTTAAGGATTATGAAACTTAGGCCTAACTTAGATGTGCTGGAAATTGAACCCGTCTCACCCACACCGAAGTCAGAGATGCTATCTTTTACTAGGCTAGCAACACACACGATGCCTAGAGAAAGGGCGAAAGAGGAGGCCATATGGTTAACTAACAACACTTTGCATTAAGCTACTTATTCATGTTGGGCCTAAATGGAAAATAACTAGGTGTGAACAGGTTAATAATAGATCACAATATAATGACATTAATCTCACTTAAAGTTATATCTGCGAAACCATAATCCTTACCATCCAATCCAATCGCAACACAACCACAACACCAGAAGTAGGGTACACTTCCATATCTGTTGGCACCAACAACCGAATGAGTAATATTGATTATTCGATTGTTTAATTTGATACCGGTACCTATATCGTTTGGTTGGTTAGATTAGGTTAACCTTCCCTAACTAACCAAACGATATATCGAATAATCGATAGATCGATCAATATTACTCTTTTAGTTGTTTGTGCCAACAGATATAGAAGTGTACCCCAGAAGTAAAATAAACATAGACATACCACAACACAGACTTAAAAAACAAACAACACAATCACATACTCTTGGAATCAATGTTCTATAATCAATTACCCCAACATCTAAAATCAAACACAGACTCAATTTTGGAAAAAAATTAAAATTGTACCTAACTGCAAGGCCATACGACACAATAAAATATTTCATAGAGGAGCACACACACACAAAACATAAATAACGAAACCTGAAACACAGAAAACCTCAAAAAAGGATAATAGTTGACGACTCCCCGATCAGACAATTGTGGCGAGGACACCGTAAGTAAGAGAGTAAGTAAGGTCGAAAGGGCCGTTTGCCCTGCTGTATCCAACATTAATTAAATTAATCAATTTTTGTTTTAAAATATGCAAGCATAAAAAATTAATTTACAGTAAGTTAGGCTAAGTTACTGTAGTGGAAGGATTTTTTAAGAACCAATAGGTAGTCAAATAGGCACTTTATGAAATGTGTTACAACACCAAGTTGTTAAGTGGCAACTAGTAGGCATGTAGGCAATGAGGTTAGGCCTAGTTTTATGTGGTTACAGTAAGTTAGTAATACAAAGGACACTAACTTAATTAAACTTGTAACTGCTGGTTAATTTTCAAAAACGCCACAGTTTGCATGTCTAATTAAGTTTTTAATTTAAAAATATTATTCATAAGGAAGTTGTAGGCCTACCTACTAAGTTATTGTTTTTTTTTTTTTGCAGAAGGAGACACATAATATTAAGCTTAAATTAGTTCTAAGCTTGCATTATTTGTGTAATGTACCTACAATCTAGAACCGCAATTTAAACTTAGCCTATTACCTTTTTATAATGTGTTTATTATTAATTTTAGTTTAAATGACTTGTATATTTTTATAAAAATTGTTACGGGCAATAGCCATAAAACAAAACAATAAATGATAGGTTGTTTAATATAGGCCTAAGTTTAATTACGGTACTACGGTAGGCAGGCCTACTTTAGGGAATCTTATTTACTTTTTGGAAATAAATACCGGTATTGTTTTGTCCTACATTTAGGCCTTCCATAAAATTTAATTTTGTTTGGCTGTGGGAATTTTCAAGTCAACAGACAAAGAAAATAACTCTTCAACTGTGCCAACCATACCCTCCTCAAATACAGGATGGCTATTGCCTTGGTAATAACAGCAATAATGCTTAAACATAAACAACAGCTGGTCAAGTATGGCAAAAATGTGGTGTTGTCACTTTTGTTTCGCCATGGCCATATTCTAGAGGATGCTATGTCCCGACCCAAAAAATATTTTGGAAAACTTAACAGGATAGCCAACATCTTTGTCAAACATCCATGCCTAAAATTAATAATAAATCAATCTGTTGATTATGAGCTTTAAAACCATCTAAAATAATGGACCAGTCATTTTGTGACCGATGGCACTACCTACAGAACAGCCGTAATCAGCCATAAAATGACCGATTAGCAGTACTAGGGTTAAACTCCCAATAAAAAAATGATGTTAAAAGATCGTATGGATAAAATACCATCAGTTGTGCTGCCATTAGAATTAATAATTTTTGAAGGCAGCTGCAGCCTATTACAGTCTGTATTTGCCTTGATTATTTTTAAATCTATTTTCAATTTAGATTCAATGTATATAACACTTTCTATGTTACAGAAAGTCATAAAACAAACAGATTTGGACAGAAAATTAATAATTAGGCCCAATTTAAAATAAACTTCTTAAATATTCATTATTGGGCAAATTTGAACAAATGAGCTAATCTAACAGCTGATTTATGTAGTGTGGAATGCAGAGTGAAGGCCCTGGGGGATTCAAAAGTGAAAGTAAGCCTGTGTGTAAGATAGGCCTACTATTAATATATCTACAGTATCTAAAACTTGAATCTCAATTGGCTCTTAAGTTTGGTGTAGTCAGGAAACAAACACACAAATAGACCCTCTACTGTACTAGATTTTATCAGATAATTTAAATTAACGTATAACCTACCACAGGAAGATAAAACTACCTATACTGAATAATGACCAGAGACAAAGTTTCAACAGTAATAACTTTGTTTTGTTTGTGTCCTTCAAAACAGTGAGTTGCGGATTCATTTTATGTTAATGGTTCAAGTTCAAGACAGTGATGCATATTTTGTCATTTATCAGTTTTTAAATTAATAGTCAATGATTAAAATTAAAATGCCTATATTTTGGGGTTTAAGTTTGAATCTTGTCTGAGATAGTTCTGTAAAAAATAATGTGAGATTGTGTGGTTGAGTTAATAGTAAATCCTCATTGATTAAAACTAATAGGCTAAGCGTCTCAAGTTGTTTGGATTAACTTGTAATTAATTTTTGTATTATGTGAAAAATATCCTAATAAAAAATACAAAATCAGGTTTTTTTGGTAAGGTACCCTGTAGCTAATTAAACACAAAGGTAGGCTGCATATTTAGAAAAGGGCTTTAACCCTTTCCTTACAGAGTTATTTATTTAAGTATCATGCAGTTAGAACTGAGTAAAAAAGGACCAATAAACAATGTTTTAGTAAAAAAAGTCGCTAAAATGTAATTTATGAAATAAATGCCTAACTTGTGTTTAAATCGATATACATACAATTTATTTTCATATGACACTAATTTTAAATGTAAAATATTTTATAGCAATTTTCAATACATATGCATTTTTTTATATGCATAACTTATAAAAAATATTTTTTGAAAGCAAGCCTTGAATTTTTTTATATCAGGCCTAAGTAACTGGAGCTCCAGCTCCATTGATTGAGAGCGTGAAGTCACTTGGAAGTCCAAAACCAATGGTGGGATTCCGGCACAAAATTGCTAAGAGGTTAAGGACCTAAAATTAACAATACAAGAGCTGGCTGGACACAAAATATAAATTTATTCAACAAAATATAACATTATTTAAATATATAACAAGCTGGGATGGGCACCGCCCGTCTTTAGGCGGCAATGGGTTAAAAGATAATTAAAATGAAAACAGTGTATTCATCTACTAAACTGTAAAACAGTAACTACACTCAATATGGATTTCAAACTTAACCTTTAAATGCCTATGCCCAACTTTTTAGTTAAACTTAAAATAGGTATTATACCTTCTGCAAAGATTCGTGGCAGCTGAGGTATTAGGACGGTCGGGTGGTGTCCCAGCCCCTAAATTAGCCCTCGCTCGACTGCTCAGGGTTTTGACCATGAGTCACCCACTAGGCTCAATGCATAGTTGGAAGAATTTTATTATATCACCATAAAGTGTATTAAATAACGCCAGTTTTGTAACCTGCGTCAAATAACAAGAACATTTAGCCCAAACAGGAAATAATTGCAACGATATTGAGTATACATTTGGTTTTAAAATAATAGACAGTTTTCGTGTCATGGTATGCTTAATATCATCGCAATTATTTCGTGTTTGGCCTCAATGTTCTTGTTATTTAATGCAGGTTACAAAAATTACGTTATTTAATACACATTACAGTGATATACAATCATTTTACCAACTATGCATTGAGCCCAGTGGCTGACTCATTGTCAAACCCCAGAGCAGCCGAGTGAGGGCTAATTTAGGGGCTGGGGCACCACCCGACCGTCCTAATCCTTCAGCCGCCACAAATCTTTGCGGAAGGTATAGTATTAATTAAAACAAAATACTGTTAACAAACACAAACACCGTTGTAGATTGTAGTAATATTTGTCCAGTCATACAAGAGCTTTCAACACATTACATCAAACACTCATTAATCTAGACCCCTTATAGACTTTGCTTAGTTCGGACAGCCCTGTGAGAATTTTTATACAAATTTTATTCATTTCAGTTAAGAATGTGCTATTTCAGTAGCACATTCTTAACTTAAAATTTGTATATTGCACATTACTACAATCTGCAACAAAGTTTGACAACAGTTAATAGTACAACAGTTAACAGTGTTTACAACAGTGTGATTGATTGATTAGGTAAAGTCATTCTTTTTACAGTTTTTTTTATCTGTTAAAACCTAAAATATTTCAGTCTACAAGGTAGCAAAAATCTATAAATAACTCAGAAAAATGAACATAAATATAAATACACATGCAGAATAGTTTATTTCAGTTTAAGGAAATAGTGTTTATATCAGTGTCTAATCTTAGATCTACACACCGTTGTAATACATAGGCTATGTTTAGTATATGATGGGTTAACTGAAAATTTTGTATCCGAAATGGCACTCCCCCCTTTATTTTGGTTAATTCGGGTTCCACTATATTTTATTTTTAACTATATGCACTATGCCCACATGAAAATAGAAGGATAAAAGGCACTTAGCCTAAATGAATCTCTTAGAAAAACCAAACATCCACAGGCATATTGATTTCATCCTTTTTTTACAGCATAATTTGTGCTTTTACAAGTTGTAACTGAAAAAATATGAAGTTTTAGCGAATTTCCCTATAGGGAAGTAGCTTTTACCGTAGGTCTCATGGTAAGACCTAAGCCCGGGACCGATTTACTTTTTCATTTTGATGTCCCCAGAGGCCAAAAACACCATTCGTTCAAATTTTTATATATCTATATATATATCTATATATCAATGTATGCAGAACACATATTAGAAAATAATCACAATTATGGCAAATTAGAAGAATGTGTCAAAATTCTAAATTATGAAAAAAAGGGTGAAAAAATTGACATAAAAGAAGAGATACAAATATACCTTCACTCAAAAGAATACGGCGACCACATTCTCAATGTAATGCAAAAACAAAAGCAAAATCCAATACATGAAAAAATCAGACAAATCAGGGAAGAATCTTGCACATTTACATGTTAAAAAATACACCTAACCATTTAATCAAAATTTAATATGAATTCAAAACATATGTTATTAACTATTTATTTATTTTATTTGTTTACATACTTTTATATAGCTCATACTATGATCATGGCCTTAGTGCCGAAATACGTATCAGTTTAAATAAAAATGAATTTCAGGGTACTCTGGTTTTTATTATTTCGCTTATTAATTGAAAAAGTAGCCCTAAAAAGTGAACAGAACTATCAAAATATATATATATATATATGTGTGTCCATCCGCACGAAAACTTGAGTAATTTTTGTCCGATTTTGATAAAATTTGGTTTGAAGGTGTAAGGCGGGATAAACTTGAATGAGTTCGCGAACCAGCATGATCGGACTATGGGAACGGGGGTTTATGGGGGGTTTTATGGGGTAAAAATAGGTTTTTCCCATTTTTGACCCTAAAAACACAAAATTTCACAATTTATTCCTAAACCATTTTGTAGAGCTTAAAAAAACAAATAATTTAGTGAAGCGTTATTATGCGCCTAATTGTAACGGAGAAAAATCAAAAAAATTGTAATTTTAAAATTCCCATGTAATTCTTATGGAGAATAAGTCAACTGTTGTAGTTTGCTTGTTTATGAACATATTTTGATCAAATTTGGAAAATATATTAATTTCTTACTAAACCACAGTACCTTTTAATATTTTACATTAAAAAAAACTTGTTTACCCTCCCTGTTGCAGCAAACCTAAGTACTCATTAAACTAATTCTGTTAAAATAGGGAATAAATGTGATATTTTTAAGGAGACATTTTAGTTTAAATCCAATCAAGCAGATGGAAATTCGCTAAGTCTGCAGGTTTGCTGCGGCGGGGGTATTTAAGATATATTTAACATTCAGCTTCAAAAGCATAAACACATCCCAGTGATACTGTAGATCCAAACCAAGACAAGGTCTCTTCTGCAGGGTCACACAATTACTGGTACTAGTTGCTCTGCCTGTGCTTCACATCAGGGCGAGAAGTTAGAGAATAATGTGGTTCTTGAAATCCTCTGTAAAAACCGTTATAGGTACCGGTAACCTATTAGTGATTACAAACTCAATTGTAGGCCCACTGCTTAACAATGACTAGCGGTACTGGTATCTCTTTCTCTTTGGTTTATGTAGCCTATTTGAAATCAACACCGTGGCAAAATCAAAACTAATAACTTTATAGAAATGGGAACATAGAACAACTATTTCAAGAATAATTTAAAGGTTAAATCAGAAAAGATGTAATCAAAATAGTAGCCTAAACAAAATAAAATGCAACTGTTGATGCCTATGTAATATTTTAAATTTTAATAAAAAGCCCTTTAGTTAAGAGAGGGTTTAAAAACTAAAATTATTCTAGAAAATTTCTCAGCAATACCTTTCATTCAAGTAGGCACTTTGCAGTTGATAGGTTTGAGAAACCCCTTGAGGTTTTCACAAAGGTTCAAGTTCCTCATTAACTTTATTATTTTAATTAGCTTATAGTTAAATCCTTAATTTAACATTATTAGTTAAAATCCTGTATTTACGTTATGTAACACTGTAGCTACTGAATTTAAAATCTTGTACTTACAGCATACATATCACCCTTATATAGTCCAACGATATTGTCGTACAGGATGTAAAAAATGTTATCAGTACCGGTAGATAGGTGTTGTTTAAACAGAGTGGGTTATCATATGGTTGTTGTCTAGCAGCTGTAAATTGATTTTATCTATGATCAGCTGATATGCTCTGTGGTGATCATGTTACAGGCGGCTCTGTTGAGAACAGTCCCGTTACCTCAGCAGCAGAGATATTTGACAACGAATATTCAGTCTTCGACATCTTCAGTTTCTACTCCAAGTCCTGCTTTGGTGAAACAAGGTATGTGCTTTGGTTCTGTTTTAAGTAGTTTGTGTTGTAATTGTAAGGCTGTAGCATGGTTTTATTTTGGAATCTATTGTTTTATAATTAGAAAAAATGTTTTGTCTTTCACTAGAATGTGGACATAGAAAATCTAGTTTTGGTTAATGGCCGCTATGCGTCACACATTATACCCAATTTCTTGTTTACCAAGCAGTAAACTAAATAAAGGAGATCTAGTTTTGCTTAAGATTACTGGCAATATCATGTTTGTCGTAAATCTAGGTTGCGTCAACTATCCTCACAACCTGTGGCGTTTAAGCTACGATATTGGCGATTGTTGTCGATTGATTGTTATGACAAAATCGTTGGTGTAGGAAACGACAACTGAACACCTTAACTTAACCATAGGAGACAATTTACTGAAAATCACAGGCCCAAAGTCCCAGCTTTGATGATTATTAATATTAATTTAAACATTTTAACTACAGAAATAGTATAGTCTATCGCTTCAAAAATCTCAAAATTTTATTAGTTTATGGCCAATATGTTTTTGATTGTATATTATATTTTAAAACAAGCTGAAAATCATAAATCGAATCTACACACCACTATAACACATGGAGGAAATTTGGAACAAAGTTAGAGAATCACAGATTAGAATTTTATAAGAAAAAAACCACCTACATGGGGAACAAATTTCTTAAAGCACTACCAGATGAACTAAGATTAGAAAACAATGCAAACAAACTTAAGGCAAAACTGAAAACGATCTTAATAGAAAAAAAATATACTATCTTCAGGACTTCTTTACTTGTATGTGAGTTTGCATTGAGAGCAGTGTAGGTTTGTCTGGGGTTGGTGATCCTACAAACTATGTTGATGGTACAGTATATTAGGTATATATATATATACCGCTGGAGGTTAGATGTAGTGCATGCCGAGGCATGCGGCCTAAGTCTGCCACAACAATGCAACTGTCTACGTCCGCTTTGCAAGTTATTTTTAAACGATTTTAGATTATTTCAAACAATAATAAAATATTACATAACCCCAAAAGTGTCTTTTTTTCAATTATCAATCATTAGGATGGCTTAAAAATTGCACACCTATTTACTGTTTTTAAAATTCACACCAAACACCCTAATTTTTTAAATGCACTACATCTAACCTCCAGCGGTCACGTATTACTAAAGCTGCCATATCTCAGTTAATATTCATCCGATCTTAAAGATTAAGGTTTCAATCGATTTGTATTTAGATTATCTTAAAAAAGTTATTCGTGTAAATTTTTTGTAAACTCAACGGTTTTTGAGTAATTTAAGAAACAAAATGTTAAATGGCCGCCATTTTGTTTTTGAATTTTAAAAATGTTCATAATTTTTTTGTAGCTTTGTCTAGTTGTCGTAAATGTTTTTGCAAAGTTTCAATTTCGTATCTCTTACCATTTTTTAGAAAACAATTAATAAGCGAAAAAAACAAAATGGTGGATGTGTGAGTAGCTAAGGACTTCCGGTCAATTTAAATATGATATTTGGATTTGTTTCTTACCCAGGAACAATACCCTAAAATATCCGACACAAATTCTGAAACACCCTGTATATATATTTAGGTGACATTTTTATTTGACAAGATCAATCCAGACATCTAGTCAACGATCAAGTTGGTAATGGTAATGGTATTATGTACATGTGACGCCATTTCTTGTATTTATGTACAAAGACAAATAAAGATGATTGATTGATATATGCAATAATTACTAATCAGACAACTGGACACAACGTGCACTAAGGAATTTAAGGGTTGAGCAAAATATTGATATTAAAAGATGACACTTGAAATTACATTAGGCCTAAAGTAGTTGATAGGTGATATCTGAAACGGATTATTTACTGAAATATATTAGTCTAACACCATACCTCGCATGGGGCCTTACCCCCATGCTCGTGGATGTGGCAAGACAACCCGGGAGCTGCTCGCTTCTCCTGATGTGGCCGTGCGCATGCGCGAGCACTTTGTCTTCTGTTTGACAATGGCTTGATCTACTCTACACGTTTGCCTTCTTGGCGGGACATTTAAACCGTTGTGGAGGTTAAGCTCCACAAACCCTTTTGCAGGTGGCAAAGTTAATTTGACATTTCTGTAATTTTTGTATATGTTGTGGAAGATGATTTGGGTATATTAGGATATATCGGGTTTCTTAATGATTTGTACTTTGACTTGGACAGTGAAAATAAGTATGGTAGTATGTTTACTTTTATCTTAGATGTTGTTACATCTAAGATAAAAGTTACAAAAGCAAAATACAACATGGGGGAGCTAACATGGATAGTGGTAGAGCGCAGGACTTCGGTTTCTGAGGTCCCGGGTTCAAATCCCGCCAAATCACTTATGGATTTTATCTTCCGGTATGTGATAATGCCGCAACCCCTAGGTCAAGCCTGAAGTAATGTGAAATACAATTCCTGGCTCGTGCCTAGATTTCAGGGCAGGAAAAAAAGCCAAATAACAAAATAAATTTGTTTTAATGGGAAAATAAGATCGTATCACCTTTGAGTAAAAACGAGGATACAATTTTTTCACTCCCCATGTGATGTCAGTACAAAGTAAAAGTAAGCATTGCTCAAAATGTTTTTCTTGAATTTACATTTTGGTGTATGAATTTTAATATTTTAGCTGGGACCTACTTTGGAAATGAGTAGGACACTATTTTGTTTTGTGCTCTGTGCAATGTATAGTTAGTTAGAACTGCGTGTTGTGTACAGGTGTGTCAGGGTCCACTATGGGGCCAGCAGTCATCAATAGACTGACCACGATGCCTGTGTCGGCCGGTACTACCTCTACCTACCACGTACCTCGAGGTCAGTACCCTACAATATAAGATAATCTTAGTCCTAAAATAATTTACTATACAATAACATCTTCATCAAACAGCTTCAGACTAACAGATTGTGACTTGTATGTTTACGTTGCTTAAGAAATTATGTCCACCTTTATTTAGTAATCGTGATATAAATCGAGCAATTATCTCTTAATAACATAACTCACCATCACCAAAGATTAACTTCAAACAAAGAATTGTATGTTTACTCTGCTATGGAGTGTGTATGAGTCATATACAGGTGGTTATGGGATTATGGAACCATCAAAAGTCCAAACGAATCAAAGCTGAACTAGAGGAAGTAAATTGTGTAAACATTTCTACTGTTGAAAATTTGCTCGGGTTATAGCTTGCTAACCTCATTTTTTTAAAGTACCATCAAATTATAACTGTTAACGTATATTTGTGTTGTTATACCAGTTTTTTGTTGATAGGAGCCGCAGCAGTGGCTAACATTGCTGTCCCAAGGTCTACGCTAGCAACTCCAATAATCAGAGGGTCCTCTACATTACAAACCATCGGAGTCGCCACCTCGTCCAGCCAACAAGGGTAAATTGTGTATTTTTGTTACACTGGCTTTAACTACAGTAGAACCTCTTTAATCCTGTAGTCCGAACTTCCACTAATCCGAACGCCTCATTGCTGTTCTCTATACAGTAGTTCATTATTGAATACTGTATTTTTTATATACACACCATAATTGTTTCTATTGTAATGTACAGTACTGTTTATTCACTATGTTTACTACTGTATTAAATAAACACTGTATTTTACTTTGTAAAGCATTTTTCACTCTTCTCGAAACAATTACGATCCATTTTAGCTGTTGTTATGTAAAAACAACAATATGTTCTGTAATCCAAACTATTCACTAGTCCGAACAACCCCCGGTCCCAATTAGTTTGGATTAAAGAGGTTCTACTGTACCTTTGTTTTTGAAAGGAAAGAGGTTCAGCTAGCTCAACTGAGAGAGTCCAGGGGCTAAGTAGTAGATAAACAAAATTAAAGGATAAACATAACACATATTTGGCCGCACCATCAAAACCCCTCCACCTCCCTCGATCTTCTGTGTCATCCTGACTTTCCATCCTTTATTAGGACAAAGTGTCACAGCTCCAAGGCTCTGATTTTTCAGGTAAGCTAGCTGGACTCTATCCCTTTTTAACAACTTCTTAGGCAGTAACTGGAAATAAAATTGATTTTTTTTATAGATGGTATCTACTTTACTTTAATACCAATGAAATGGCGACCATACAAAGTAGGTATTTTAAGCCAAGTATGAATGGAGATGAGCGTAGGATGAGTGGCGCGATCTTGTAGTCTTGTTAGTGACTAAGGCCGACATATTCCTTAAACACATCTGTTAACTACTACCCCATACAGCTAATGGCAACTAAGGGACCTACAGTTTATAGTGGAATTCGAAACAAATTTTTGCCTTGGTATTAAACAATTGGTCTAATTATCAGGATAGTACTGCGGATGTTAATCCACACCAGGGAGTATCGTTTCCACAGTGCATTCCTCTAAATATCCACAATTCGTGACCTCCTAGTAGCTGGATTACAGGACGTCGCCACCATCCCAGTCCATAATAAACGTCCATAAAATACTATGTCAGTATTTGTGTGAATGATAACATAAACTAGATCTGAAAAATTAAATGATTGAGATATACAAAGTGTGGTTTAACGTAAGCTTTGTAAGTTTTTAGTGTTGGTGTTGGTCTAAAGAACAAGTTTGGAACAAAATTGTTTGATTTTGGTTGCATAACTTTTTACCAACAAAACATGGTCCAATGCCACAACAAAGTGCACAGTAAAATCTTCCAAAGACGAAGTTGTGTGATGAACAGTTGATAGTTACTTCATTGATGCTGTTTGTCTGCTAGGTTCATGAGAGCCGTGAGCCCGGCTGGTAGAGGAACTACCTCCTGGGTGGGAGTCACCACTCACGCCACTGTCAGGCCTACCAACAACAACAATATCACTCAGAACCGCATGGCGGGTAAGACTAGTTATACAACAGTTTAGGTAATCATTTATAGGCTTAAAATTTTTTTTAAAGCTTACAATTTTTTTATCCAAGCTGAAGACAGTTTTACATTTTTGTCTGGTATTTATGGTTCTTGTTTGCACCTAATATTTTTTCTTATAGCGGGTAAAACTAGTTTTTCGATAGGTTAAATATGCTCCTTTGGATTGGTTTTGAAAGGCACTAGACTATCATTGTTATTTGTAGAAAATAAACTTAATTTATTATTTTTAGATAGAAGAAAGAGATAGCTGCTATATTTTCTTAGAAAAAGTCTAGGTAGGCCATAATACTGACTCACAGAAAACACACACTAATACATTCCCTGATAGTATTTGTCAAGTGTAGATGTTACTGTATTTGCTGTTGCCACATTTGTGGTGTTGCCACCAGCATCACAGCTAAATTGTGAATTTCCAATTGCTAAAGGATATCATACACAATTAAAATCCTGCAAAAAATAGTACTATATAACAATGTTCTTAAATTTTTTGGGTTTCCCTAAAACATTATCTGACCTATCAGTATTACAAAATTTATACAAATATAATAGTATAAAACAGGAATTTAATTTTAACAAGTAAAAAGCATTTTTTTAGTGGCATTCTGTATGAAAATAGGCCTAAATAAAGTGTTTTAAGGGAAAGCAGTTCAACTCCTCAAACATTTCGTGGATATGTCATGAATCGAACCCGTCCCTCTCGTACTGAAATTCAAGACGCTTGAGGAGCATCACACCATGCCCTACAAATTTACTATTAATTTCTAGATGACCTTGGTGTGATAATATTTTGTCCAGTCCAAATTATTTAATAACCCTGAGTGTACTTCATGATAGAATTGAAGAGTTTATATCTGTAGGATTTCAGTGATATATGAGTGTTATGTATTGTAGTAACTACAAGGATAGGCCCTGGTACAACTGTCAGTACGAGACCTGTCTTACTACAAGCTGCTCCTCCTCACAAACAACTGTCCATCACTCAGACCCCCAACCAGGTAACTGACTCACCTTAGTTGAGACCTAATACTTGTTTGCTAGAGTATGTGTAACATCTGTGATTGCTTCACTGTCTGTGGGCACTTACGATCACATAGGATATAACTATTGACCATTGGCTACTGAAGTAGACATCCCATCTATATGAACCAGCTGTCACCAATATTTAACTAAAAAAGAACAACTAACTGTGTGAGCCAATCACAGAATACGCTAGAGTCTAAAATTCAACTTTCTGTCTTGTTTTAGCGAATTTCCCATATAGGGAATAAGCTATTACCGTAGTACTCATGGTAAGACCTGGACGCGGGACCGATTTTTTTTTTTCGTTTTGAGGTCCCTAGAGGCCAAAAACACCATCCGTTCAAATTCATATATATATATATATATTTATATGTTTATATATTTATATATTTATATATATATATATATATTTTGTTATTGTATACATCAATGAGGGCTACTTTAAATGTTACTAAGCAAATCAAAATACCACAGTACCCTAAAAAAACCATTTTATTTTATATTACTTACATGTTTCGGACATTAATGCCATGATCACAGTATAGTATATAACCTATTAGTTTCTTTTATTTACAAACAATATTAGATATTTCTTATTAAAGAACAGGTGATAATTTTTATGTTAAGGGAAGGAGGTGTTTTCTTTAAGATGTATAATTTCATTGAATATTACGTTTTGATTTTGAATTTGTGTCAAGTTTAGTAAATTGTCTTTGTCATTAATATGGTGAGTATAAATATAAAAGTCTTCCTTTGTATTCATTTTTTCTCCTTTATTTTCAATATCCAGAATGTGCATGTTTTTATTCATTTCTGAGTATGTATGGTCGGTCTGAAGTATATGTTCGGCGTATGAGGATTTTTGTGTTGTCATATTGTTTGATCTGATTGCCTGTATATGCTCTTTGTATAAAAAATACTATAAAAAATGAATACAAAGGAAGACTTTTATATTTATACTCACCATATTAATGACAAAGACAATTTACTAAACTTGACACAAATTCAAAATCAAAACGTAATATTCAATGAAATTATACATCTTAAAGAAAACACCTCCTTCCCTTAACATAAAAATTATCACCTGTTCTTTAATAAGAAATATCTAATATTGTTTGTAAATAAAAGAAACTAATAGGTTATATACTATACTGTGATCATGGCATTAATGTCCGAAACATGTAAGTAATATAAAATAAAATGGTTTTTTTAGGGTACTGTGGTATTTTGATTTGCTTAGTAATATATATATATATATATATATATATGTGTCCGTTAGCACGATAACTCGAACAAAAATGATCCGATTTTGATGAAATTTGGTACAAACGTGTAAACCTACGTTTATTCGAACGAGTTCGCGATCCAGCTTGATCGGACCATGGGAACGGGGGTTTACGGGGGGTTTTATGGGGTAAAAATAGGTTTTTCCCATTTTTGACCCAAAAAACATAAAATTTAGCAATTTCTTTCCAAACCATTTTGTAGAGCTTAAAAAAACAAATAATTTAGTATAATGAAGCGTTATTATGCGCCTAATGGTTACGGAGAAAGTTCCAAAAAATTGTAAATTTAAAATTCCCATGTTATTCTTATGGAGAATAAGTAAACTGTTGTAGTTTGCTTGTTTATGAACATATTTTGATCAAATTTGGAAAATGTTTTTATTTCTTACTAACTATTAACATTTACAAAAAAAACAAAAACAGTTTTACCCTAACTGATGCAGCAAACCTAAGTACTTGTTAAACTAATTCTATTTAAATAGTGAAAAAATGTTATATTTTTAAGTAGACATTTCAGTGTAAATCCAATCAGTCAAATGGAAATTCGCTTAGTCTGCAGGTTTGCTGCGGCGGGGGTATTTTTTTTTGTTGATGACTAAGTAAATGGGTCTTGTGTTCAACAGAAATTTGTAATTTAGATCAGCACAATCTTTTGATGGCTCACCTCAACTACAACGATTTTGATCAAACAACTGGTGACAACTTTAACATGGGGATGGAATGTCTAGTTGTATCAATAGTAAAAGATAAAACTAAATTTCATGATGGATAGCCTCTGGATCATTAAAATTAGCAGAATATGGTTTACTTTACCTTGCCTAAAATGATCCTGTGTAGTAGTCAAACACGACAGCCTTTTGCACGACCAACAATTTGCCAATGGTTACAACACCTCGTTAATTGACAAATTGATAAGGAAGCACAACAACAAAACCAGACAAAGCAATGCAACAGATAACAAACAATATGTCAGCGCTGAATTTGGCACAGTCCTAAATAACACCCTAAATAAACAGATGGCCCGAAATAATATTACGATAGCCTACAAAACTTCGAATAAACTTTCCAACATCCTACAACAGACCAAGAACAACCCCCGTAGTAAAGAAAATAGTACAGGAATTTATAAAATCAAATGTGACAACTGCCCACGTTTTTACATCGGACAAACTGCTCGTTCATTCAAAACCAGAAAAAAAGAACATTTACCGAAAAGAAACAGCAAATCCGCTTTCGCCGACCATCTCATCAACCACAACCATAACTACACTGATATAGAAACAAATCTGGAAGTCATGCATTTTTGCAACAACAGGAGGCGCATGGATACAATAGAAGAATTTGAAATCTATAGAGCAGCTAGAGAACATCCAGACCATATCTTGAACGAGCAGCTGTCATTCAAATCAAATATTAATATTATTTATAACACCGCCATCCGCATCATGAACTCGACCAATCAGCGTAAGGGTCCTGATAAACAACAGGTGATGGGGAGGGAATTGAACGTCTCCGATACCACCGTGACCACGCGCCAGTCATGACCTACACATTACCGGCGCCGCGTCGCGTGTTCGCGGTACTTGGCCAAGTGTTTTAATATGTTGTGTTTGTGTGAACTTCATGTACTTTATGTGTTTTTGACGTGCTCAACCGCGGGCGAAATGTGTTGATTTTGTATTTCTTCACTTTGAAGATGTGCTCATTGTAGCACGAAACAGCTGTCGTGTTTGACGACTACACAGGATCATTTTAGGCAAGGTAAAGTAAACCATATTCTGATAAAACTAAACCCTTTCATTAGGATATAATTCAAGTAAATTCACTAATAATGAACTACAAAAATCAACCTCTTGTGGATGGAGTTATTACACATTGTTTTATATTGTAGAGTAGAGATAAACATATATATTTTTAAATTATTTGTCCTGGAAAATAAAAAGCTACGGGAGGCAACAGTATTACTATATATTTATTATCTAACTACATGATAGTTACCGTGGTGTATGTTCAGGTACAGATAACAGAGAAGAAGATGGTCAGTAAGGGCCCCGGTGTGGGGAGAGGTGTGAGACTAGGTGGGGCTACAGGAGGCCCCCGCATTACACCTCCACTCCGCCCTGTAGTCAGTCTACACCCTACGGCTGTGTTGGTGTCAAGCCCGACACCCCCTCCACCCACGCGTCCTGGCACTGGTGAGTTGTAGCTATTCTCTTTCAGATTAGGATTCTTTTGAAAAGGATACAGTTGTGCTTGCTTTTCTAGGAACATTAAACCAGGGTCTAATAGATACACAAAATAAGGCCACAAAACAAAACTATAATATTTTGTACTGTTGGACTTATTAAAGGAAAAAAATCTCTTCTAACTTGCTATCCGAACACGTCCTATGTAACAATAAAACATCAGTGTATTAGATACAGTGTATTCAAATTTTGGCAGGTGAGCTAGCTGAAATAAATTTTTGTAAAATCTTATCAGTCACTTGGCTTTCCTTTTAAAATATCTCTCTCAGATAAGTGATCATTTTGTTGCTGGCTTGAACCTTGACAATCTGCCAGGGACACAGGTGGGTGTCAGCAAGCTTGCAATACGGTTGGATTACACAAATGTTACCGTATTTACCCTTTATATAAGCTATCTTGTATCTGAGAATGAATAATTGTCAAGTATAACATAATACTGAATTAATTTAGGCCTACCTAAATTTTATATAAACACGCTAAAAGGCAGGTACTTAAGTTTAGTTAACAAATAGGCTAATAAAACAAAACGTAGTAATGTTATTATTCCACCCAATAATCACTACTTTCCCTGTTAAATTGCAGAAACAGAAAAGACTTGTCAAAACACACGTTAAATTCCATTTTTGTACAAGTATCAGTCAATGACTCACTGCATCATCAGATTACAGAGTTTGGCGGAATATAGAGAGCCAAACACATATTTGTTGTCTGATTTGTTGCTTTGCTATTGCTTACTAATGTTTTGATGTAGTATCAGTGCTGACGAGTGCAGTAAGAGTCACGTCGGCACCACCAGGCTCGGGTGTCCAAGGGTCAAAAGTCTACTGCCAACCTTCCGAAGGCTCCGTGTACATCCAGGCGACACACAAGCCTGCACAAAGTACGCCATTTTTATCTATCTACACCAATTTTAGGATTTCAATGCAAACTGATGGAGCTTACACAAATTAATATTGAGAGAGACTGGCTTTTTTAATGAACTTTTGTTGTTATCGCTGTATATCTCTATTAAAATTAATAAAAGTTGAACAGCTGTTTGTATAATGAGCACAGTTTAACAAGAATATCAATTTACAGTAGCAGAATAATAATTGTGATTTAAACATATATTATGAGCTGTTGCAAGATATGTTTTGAGTAAAACAATAATCTTTAGGATACTGGAGTGGACATCCCATATATTTGTACCAGCTTCAGCCAACATTGTCTGAGTAGTTGAATAAGCCACCCTCAGAGTGTTTTGCAGTCTAAATCTCTACTTTCTCCAATTGGCTTTTGTTGCTGTTATTGTTAATGTTATCGTAAGATATTTTTCAGTTAGTTTTAATGGTAAACAAGTGTTCCATTAATTTTTGCTTGGTCAATAATTAAAAAGTTTGATTTTTTGACAAATGTCGGTAGTTGACATTATCAGTGAGCTAATTAAACAAAATTTTGATTAATTTTAAAACTGCTTAGAAATCTAACATGGAAATGTGATATCGACTTCTATCAATTTATTAGTCAAAGGTGAAATGTTCTACTGAATGACTGAAAAATTTAGATTTTCATGAAAGATAATTGATTGTGTCTGTCTTAACCTCATTGGACACACAAAATCTAAACATTTCAATTTCTTTCAGTTTTGCGTTTTCTGATTCTAGGAAGTGGCCTAATTGTATTTTTTAAATTATATTCAAAACCTGCAATTGATTCAGGTGCCAACGTGGTGAGTATACCAAAGTCACTGTACAGTTTACCAGCCAACAGTTTCTACGATACTTCCACTAACTTCAGAACATTCACGACGGCGCCTGTGTCCACTACTCCTGCCATACAACAAACTAGGCCGACGTTGACACAAGTACAAGGTATTAATAGAATAGGTCTGTAGATGCATGGATTATGTTAGAAATCTAAAACTTTGTAATTTTCAAAACATTTAATTTACCATTCATCGACTTGCGCTTACATCGAGAAGTCAGACTGATGGTAAGTATGTATCTATTTTGATTTTTACATCGATGATAACTTCTATTTAGGGCTGTGCGGGTCTCAAGTGTTGGGTGTGTACCACAACTGAAAGTACACGCGATTTTGCTGCCATTGAATTAGCAAATTCCTAATTTCAGCAATTATAGTCCTGTTTCAATGCTGGGAGTAAAAACAATTGTTTTAGATACACTTAACACCATAAAGTGTGTTGAGTTGGTTTAAAGTAGACATAGAATATTACAAAACTTCATTTTATTTCTAAAAAGGTTAAAGTTTGTTGTATATGTTTAGTATTATTGCACTATCAACTAAATAAATTGAGAAATTATATATTTAATAATAAATGTTCATAGCGGTTTTTAACTTCTGAAAGAGCTTATAATAGCTATGATGGTAAAAATTTACCTCTTACTTCCTGCTGTTATAACAAATATATTACCAGGAATATGCAGCCAACTGCTTGTTTTCATATCCATGTTCATGGAGTGTGATTTTTTCAGCAAGTATAAATGGTGAAATAAACGAAGTAGAAATTTGAATAGAAAATTATACCGTAGTGATACGTTTCTGATTCAGATTAGGGGGTTATAATTGTTAGGTAGAAGTGGTGGTACACTCTTATTAAAATTTACTGTCAACAATAAAGCATTAGCAATAGAATTAGAATCCAAGAGTGTTACTTATTAAATGGAGTACCATTCATGGGAACGGTTATCACAGGCAATCTCTTGTGAGGAAATGACTCGAGGTGGCAATAAACAATGGTTTAGGAAATGTTTTAGGTAATTGAAAGAGGAAATAACTAACCTCTTGCGCTCGGTTGGTCGTTGATAAAACAGTGTGGAATTGTTTAACATTCCCGCCTAAAGACGGGCGGCGCCCGTCCTAGCGCGTCAGGTTACGAAAGACGCCCGTCCTCAAGCATTAATGCATTATTATGCGTTGTTATTAAACCTATTATGGACTTACCTAATTTTCCCCATTTTTTTATTAGTTGCAAAAGTAATATAATCATGCTTAGAATATTATTTTCAATTTATTTCAATAATCACAACACCAAAAGTTGGTAAGGCCATTAGGCCTAGGCCTATTTTGTCGTTTTGCAGAGTTTTACAAAAACAGTTATAAAATGAAGGATTTTATACATAAACAAACCAAATAAAGTTCTTTGTGTAAGGAATTGAATACTATTCACAAATTTGACCAAAAAATAGATTTAAAAAACAATTTAAAAAAAAATTTTTGAAGTCGGCTTAAAAAAAGTAAAAAAAATTTCTATAGGCATATATAAAAAATGCCACCACTGCCTCGATTATGTCACTTATACTGTAACTAACTGTTCTTTACTGTCTTTAGATTACCACTGACTAGCAGGTTCATCAAATCAATCCAGACATAAAATTTGGAAAACAAATGTGAAAGCTTTTTGAGCTTCTGTGCAAAAGACTGTGGCCATTATAGTTGGCTACCCGATCAATTAAGACAACCTAAAATATGATTTCTGATCGCAGTGGGTCAAATAGCATATAGGGCACTGTGCTGGAAGGACTTTTATTACGACTGAAGAACGAATGATCAATGGTACTCCGTCTAATATGTAAGGAGTTAACAATGTCTGAAATTTCAGATGTGTCGGGTTTGGGTTCTACTGTGCCTATCCTTGCTTGATCCCTGCTTTTATTAAATCCTATTTTTGGCTCGCAGGGAGGGAGCTGGGGACCCAGTCGCCCCCGGGCCTCTATCTCTCTACGGCCAAGGTAAAGGTACGTAAGGCTAGTACCTGGGTACCTCAACAGTAATTGGTACGCAATTGAAGTTAAATATGTTGATGTTGAGTGGTTATTTGTGTGCGGCGATATTATTTCTTGAAACTCCATTGAAATTACTCCATTGGTTAGTACAGGTAAGATTTTATGAAAAGTTTAGACATTTATATATACGTTGTGGTGCAGTTAAAAGGTAAATTTGGTGTCAAGGTCAATCGGAGAACCCGCACAGCTCTATCAAAATTATTTTTTCTGGTTTTTATACTGTTTATTGGCTATACCTAAATTGAATTTTATGTGATCAAAATTGTTTCTAGCATATTATCTGCTTTATAATGATATAGGATGTGTGAATTTTATATTAAATGTTTAGGCAGTTCAAATAATTGTTGTTTACAGGTGGGATATGATTTAAAATACAGGACGTTTTTAAAAGAATGCCGGGATTTTAAATGGTAATTGTTTGGGTACTATTCAAGGTAACTAAACGTTTTATACGTCAAATTGAAGCTAAAATAACTAAGTTTTGTTTCCCGAGTAGCAAGGGAGAAAACTTTGACACTGGCATGCGCAAAACAGGTGTGCGGTGGAAGGCCGCTGTTGTGACTCATACGCCTGATGTACGACGTTTACGGCGCAACAGGAGGTACAGATTGTAATCTTTAATTCGCAAAGTTTGTATTCATTGCCAAATTTAACCAAATTTAAATCTACTTTATGATAAAAAAACTTGAAGCTGGTTTAATGAGTTTTGTGACACCGAAGTGTTTTGAAAAGACATTCACCTGGCCGGCTAAAAACAAGTGATGACATAGTCGAAAAGATCCGACAATTCAAAGCCCGAAAAAATCGTAAGTCTTCAGTTGAACGAACCTAAATTGGCCACTTTATGATGTTATCTATAAAAGAATATATAGAGGCTTTGTGCTGAAAAATATCCAGTTAAGACATCAGATAAACCCGCCGATCGCCCTAAGCGTACAGACTTTGCCAGTTTTACGCTCATAAAGGATTGATGAAAATATGAATTTTATTAAATCATTCCAAATTGTATCAAAGAATGAGAAAAAACTTTATTACCTTTCAATTTGACATTTAAATCGTTTAATTATATTGAATAGTCCCCAAGCAACAACCGTTTGAAATCCCGGCATTTTTTTTAAAAACACCTTGTGTAATGAAAGATGATATGATTAGGGGTCTGCGGATCAGGAGTTTTTACTTTAGGTTAAAAATTGTAATAACTTCCCTGGTCACTGAATCACAGGTACACAATCGTTGTCTCCCACAATTGCGACTGAACCCTCCACATCACTCGCAATCATGGCACAATCGTAAATTTTCTATTTTCTAAAATTTGTTTTTGGGTTGTGGAATTGCCCCTGGACTGGTTAGGATCTAATATAATGGTTTAAATACCTTCAGACTCCAGTTTCAAAATAAGTCGGTTACTGCGACCTTGGTTTCAGCACGACAAGCTATCATCAGGCGTTCCAGTCAGAAATGTCCAGTCCATTGGACTTTTTTTGGTCAAAACTAAATACAGTTCACATGCAAAAAATACACATTTACAGATCGCTAGTTACTAAGGAAGAACGAATACATTTTGTAGAATGCCAGCCGCGATGAGTGACATCCAAGCCACAACCGATCCGTAAATGTGTATTTGTTTGAGTTTGTGTCTTGTGAACTGTATATAGTTTTGTCCAAACGACGTCCAATGGACTGAACATTTCTGACTGGAACACCTGATGATAGGACAACGTCGTGCTGAAACCTAGACCGCAGTAACGGACTTATTTGAGACGTAGGAATTGGCTAACTCAGGAACTCGCTAACTCGGTCGTGTGGCGGAACTGGCTAACTCTGGAACTGGCTAACCGTCTCAGTCAGGAATTGGCTAACTCCGGAACCCGCTAACACGATTTTGTCTCGCGGCGGAATTCGCTAACTCTGGAAGTCGCTAACCCGGCCGCGCCCACTGCTCGGAGCGTTGCCAACCTTGTACGACAAAATAATCGTACACTGCCGTATTTCAAAATGTCAGTGTCTATAAAGATACAGTAAATGTTATTTTTTTGTTATCAATTCCACTTTTAACAGATAACTAGCCCAAAGTAATTAAAAGACAATTAAAAAATCATGAAAAAGTGTTTTTTATTAAACTGTACAATGGCCAATTAAATGTTTATGATTTCGATCATAAATATAAATGCCATCAGTAGAAAAGAAAATAATAGAATAGGAAAAATATTCAAAATTTAGTTTAATTGGTAATAAATAATTAAACCTCTACGAAAATAAGCTAAAATACACGCAAGTTCTTAAACACGGAAAACAGATTTAATTGTAATGTCGTAATAAACCAAAACCATTAATTAATACAGTCATCAACCATCGTAACTTTCATAATTAATTCATAGATTTTAAATTAAATGTTCGTCATTGAACCGTCCAACTTACGTGTACAAATATGATGACATAGACTAAGTTTTTATCTAGGCCTAATAGTTTGAACCAAAGCATTGTAGGCCTACTAGTAAATAGTTGCCTTATTCTAAAATGTGTTGAATTTTTTAGCAATAATGTTACATGTTTTTAAACAGTTTTTTGATTGTACACCTAAGCACCACTAGTAAAAAATAGGAGAAGATATAATATTCATATAATAAAACGTGACAGGGTTATTTTAATTCACGATTTTTAATAAACTAATTGACGGATTTTCCTGATTTGAGTGTTGGGTTTCCTTTATATTGCTTTCACAAACGATATACTCGTAAACTATACCAAGCCATTGCTCGGTTCACCGTTCCCCAGTACTGAGCTACACAATAGACAGTAGCTTTGTTTTTGGATAAGATAGAATCAGCCTGGAAAAAAACTCCAGACTTTTAAAAAGTAAGCCTACTGAAAGACGTAAAATTAATATTAATTCAACAAAATTAAGATGATGACTCAAAAGATTCAAAAGATTCAAAAGCTTTATTTGCCGTTCAATACAAAATGTACAATAGGCATTGTCTCATACATTAAATAACTTAACTGCTAAAATAAATAAATAAAATCAATTCCAAATAATAAATTACAAAATGCAAACTCACACAGCA